TTATTTCTCTTTGCGGGGGGCGGCGGGCTTAGACAGGCGGGCAAACCAGAACGGGCGGACAATCCTTCGTGGGCGTACATGTGCCCGCCATTGGACTTGATGTGGGCCTTACAAAAAAAGGAGGGGAGAACGAGGGAGACTGGGAGCAAGGGAGGGGGAGGGACGAAGGAAGAGGGAAAACACCAGGAGAGAAGGAGCGAAGAGGGGGGCGGTTGATTAGAGGCAGAGAGAGAGATAGAGAGAAAAAAAAGAGAGAGAGAGAGAGAGAGAGAGGGAGAGAGATATGGAGAACAAGAGAGAGAGGGGAGAGAGGCAGGGAGAGAAAGAAAGAGGGAGGGAGGAGGCAGGCGAGGGGAGGGAAAAGGGAGGAGGGAGAGGAGGGAGAGGGGATAGGGCAGAGAGCCATAAGGATGAGGGAAGAGAGGAGGGAGAGAGAAGGGAGGGGAGGAGGGAGGAGGGACGAGGGAGAGGGAGGAGGAGCAGGAAGGTAAGAGCGTGAACGTTCGAGGAAGTCCCAGGCGAAAACGCCGTTCCTGAAGGAAGTCTCGGGCGGGAGCCCACGACGGGCGGGCGATCCCCTGACGGGCGGGTCGGGCGAGTGGGACATTCAAGCGGGATGCCTGAGTATGGCGAGAGCGCGATCACTCAGTAAATTGTAACGGCGTCCTTGGCGCAGCGTGTTTTCTCAGCGTCGAAAGCGTGATTTCTGAATAAATTGCATGGAAGTCACAGGCGAGAGCGCAATTCCTGAAACAAATGTGAAGGGCTCTCTGGCGGGAGCGGGGGTCTTGATTAAATTGCCAGGAAGTCGTGACTCAATTGCGAGGAAGTCTCAAGCGGGAGCGCCGTTGCTGAGCAAATTGTAAAGGAAATCTCAGATGGGAGCGGGGGTCCTGACTAAATTACGAGGAAGTCACAGGCGCGAGCACCGATCCTGAGTAAATTGTAAGAAATCTCAAGAGCGGGGGTCCTGATTAAATTTGGAAGAAGTCTCAGGCGGAAGCCGTTGTTGTTGTAATGCGGGGGGCCAGGGGGCCAATTTGAGCACGAAGACTTTCCCTGAAAAAAAACAGGGTGCGAGCGTCGAGGGGCACACTTCGATTGAGAAAAAACAGCATGCACCGGTGAGGGGGGATCAACAATTGTTATTCTTCAGAAATGAAAATTCAACAAAAAAACAACAAAACAACAAAAACAACAAAAACAACAAAAACAACAAAAACAACAACAACAACAACAACAACAACAACAACAACAACAACAACAACAACAACAACAACAACAACAGCAACAACAACCATTTCAAGACTGTTCGCCCTTGTATGCTCGAATGTCCAATAACGCGTATTTCCCAAACCCTCGATACCCGCCCTCTTCGTCTTCGATCGAACCCCTTTTGGGGGGTATACCTTTCTTCCCTGCAGGCCGGGCCCCGGCAAGCGGCGGGGCGGCCGCGGACCGTCGGCCTGGCCAGCGGCAGCGCTGATCGGCGGGGCGGCCGCGGACCGTCGACCCGACCCCAAGAGGGACGGACAGGGGACCGACCACGACGACGACGACGACGACGACGACGACGACGACGACGACGACGTCGAGACGACGGCGACGACGACGACGACGGCGACGACGAGCGAAAGCGAGAGCGAGAAAGAACGACAGCAGGGCCACGAAGGGCACGAAGTAGGCCACGAAGGGCGACAGCGGGGACACGAAGGGAATGCGTATGGGGCCACGAAGAGTGCGAACGAGCGGGGGCCACGAAGTGCAGACAATGTGGGGCCACAGAAGGCAACTATGGGGCCACTGAGGGTAGCAACTGGGCCACGTAGGACAATGAGGGGGACTCAAAAGGCGACAGCGGGGCCACGAAGGGCATGCACATGGGGCCACAACGGTCGCGACTCCTGGGTGCCTGGGTGTCGGGAACGCGGCGCTTGGGCAAATTACAAGAACTTCCAACGCAAGGCTATTCTTCAGTAAGTTGCAAGCAAGTCTCCAGCGAGAGCGCGACTCCAGAGCTCCGGGAAAGCGATTCCTGAATAAATTGTAAGGAAATCCTAAGCGAGAGCGCGATTCCTGAATAAAATGCGAGGAAGTCTCGGGCGGGAGCGGGGGTCCTGCCTAAATTGCAAGGAAGTCTAAGGCGGGAGCCGTTGTTGTTGTAACCCGGGGGCCAGGGGCCCAGTTTGAGCAGGAAGACTTTCCCTGTCAAAAAACAGGGTACGAGCGTCGAGGGGCACACTTTGATTGAGAAAAAACCGTATGCGCCGGTGGGGGGGATCAACAATATTTATTCTTCAGAGATGAGAATTCAACAAGGAGCAACAACAGGGAAGATGGATGATGAGGCGGAGGAGGAGGAGGAGGAGGAGCGAGGAGGGGAGGATGGAGAAGGAAGGGGAAGGGGTTGGAGGAGGAGGAGGAAGAGGAGGAGGAGGAGGAAAATGAGGAGGAGGAGGAACGAGGGAGGAGAGAGGGGTAGGAGGAGGGCGCTGGTCCCCGCATGCTCTCGATGGTCAGTTCTGCCCTCGACCCCTGAGGGTCGAGAGCTACGGTTTGCGGACGCTTTTTGAGCGGGCTTTGACATGTTCCCCAATCATTGCGTGCACCCAGGGGTTCCTGCCTCTGTTCACAATGAACTGGGCCCCAGTGTCGGGTCCGCCGCCTTGTTGTCGCCGTCGCCGCCTCGTCGCCGCCCTTCGTCTACGCCCGGGTGTCGCGACAGGCCAGGCTCGCGAGCACCAGGCCACACCCCAGGCAGGATGGTCTGGAGGACCGCCTGCAGCCATCGCGCCGACAAGGCCCAATCGAGGAAAGAGGGGGCTACCCGCGCGGCCTCGGCGCCGAGGCCCTGATGCTTCTGCCTCCGACCGCTTTCCGCCGACCTTCTGCCGGGGGAGCCGCCGCCGTGCTTAGAAGAAACATCTGCGTAAACATTAATTTTTGGCGCTCCGCGCGGATTCCTTGGATCTGCGCTGGACCCCTCTCCCTGGCGCGCGGAGCGCGGCAGGGGCGGCGCCGGAGGCGCCGCCGGGAGGGACCCAGCGCGGATCCACGAAACCCGCGCGGAGCGCCAAACAATTATGTTTAGGGCGTTTTTTTATTCTTCGACTCCAACCGCTTTCCACCGAACTTCTGCCAGGGGAGCCGCCGCCGTGTTACAGCGGAGGCCCGACCACAAGAGACCTTCCACGAGAAACCCAACCCTGAGACCCCAGGACGCTCATGGATGTTTGGTGGGAACGTCACGCTCTTCATCTCAAAACCACCGAAACCCAAGAAACCCACGGCACCCTGGATGAAGGGGCCCCAGGACACACAAAGAAATACACACAAATAAAAGGATTCCCCCTATTTTCATATATTTTCTGGGTTTTTGTCTTCCCCCCCACTTCCCATATTTTCCCATATTTTCTTTGGAATCGACGATTAGTTGTGTCTGTGTGTTTTATCCCCTCCTGACTGGAGGCCAGCAGGGTGTCTCTTGGCATGGGCCCCAGCTGCACACCCCCGCCGGCCTCCCGCCGGCCTGCCGCCGCCCTCCGCCGTGGGCGAGTACAGCGCGCCGCAGGCGCGGCCCCTGCTCTGGCCCGCCTCTCTGCTGCATCTGCCTCTCGGGGGGCCCCAGTGAGAGCGCCTGCGGAGGGGGCCTCTCTCGGCGCCTCCCGGCGTCGGGATATCCGGGGCGGGGGCGCAGCCGACCACCGCCCCCGCGCTTGGAGAGAACGCGTTCCGTGGACGCGTGCTTGGAAACAAGTCCCTGGACACGTCGGAACCGCCCCCCGCCCCCCCCACCCCGAAACATGTGAAGCGCCCGGAGAGACTGCCCTCCCCCCGGCCCGCCAGACACCGGCCTCTCAAACTGGGGGGGGGGGCCCCTTCGATCACTTGGGGTGGGTGGGTTCGAACCAGCCCCCCACCACCCAGTCCAAGGTGAGGAGGGGTTCGAACCGGACCCCCCCTCCCTTGAATAGAATCCCATTAGTGCTCGATGGAAATCTGATATAATCTTACTATAGCTGGCTCTAATGTTAATAGCATCCTAGTCGGGCTCGACCCAACTCTCACAGAATCCGATTATCGGTGGATCCAGCTCTAATTTAATCCTACGAGGCCTCGATCCAGCTCTACTAGAATATGATGTAGCAATGTGGCACCCCGCAACTGCGGATAAGAGTGAGGAGGCGGGCGCGGGGTGGGTCGCGCGTGGGTCGCGGGAAGGTCGCGGACGAGTGGGTCGCTGGGTGGGTCGTGGGTCGCAGGTGGGTTGCGGGTGGGTCGCAGGTGCGTCGTGGGTGTGTCGTGAGCGGGTCGCAGGTCGGTCGCGGACTGGGTCGCGAGTGGGACGACAACAGCAACACCAACAACAACAACAACAACAACAGCAACAACAACAACGACAACAACAGCAGCAACAACAACGACAATAACATCAGCGCCAACAGCAACAACAACAGCAGCAACAACAACAATAACGACAATAACAACAGCATCAACAACAGCAGCAACAACAACGGCAGCAACAACAACATCACCAACAGCAACGACAGCAGCAACAACAGTGAAAAGAACAACCATATCAGCAACAGCAACAACCACAATCAGTTTAAGACTGTTCACTCTGATCTGCGCGCGTGCAATTCAACCCGTATATCCCAAACCCTCGATACCCGCCGTCTTCGTCTTCGATCGCACCCACTTGGGGGTATATCTTTCTTACCTGCAACATGTATTACATGCAGCCACATACGACAGGGGAAGAGAGGACGGATGGAAGAAAGGGACAAGGGGGAGGGAGGAGAATGGAAAACAAGAGGGGAAGTAGCAGGAGGGGACTAGGAGCAGAGGCGGGACTGAAGGCGGGCTCAGGCGGCCAGGTCGAACAGGCGGGTTGCTGAAGCGTGCGTCCTGCATGACCTGCGAATCTCGAGCGATAGCGCGATTCCCCCATAAATCGTGAGATGGGCCAAAGCGAGAGCGTGATTACTGAGTGTCGAGGGCGCGGCGCCTGAATGAATTGCGAAGAAGTCCCGCGCGAGAGCAGCATTCCTGCTTAAATTGTGACGACGACCCGCGTTAGAGCGCGATGTGGGAATAATTATTATTGAGAAAATATCAGACGGAAGCCGCTGTTGATGTTACTCGGGGGCCAGGGGCCCAATTCTGAGACCCAAGACTTTCCCTGATTAAAAACCAGGTGTGAGCCCGGGAAGGGCACTTCAATTGAAAAACCCATGTGCCCCAGAAGGGGGGGAACATAAAAAAGATTCAGACATGAGACTTCAATCACAACAACAACAACAACAACAACAACAACCACAAACCAAAACCACGACCAACAACCAACAACCAACAACCAACAACCAACAAGCACAACAACAATAATAATAATAACAAAACTAATGGAAACTACAATGTTATCGTCCAACACGTATACCCCAAACCGTCGCTACCCGCCCTCGTCGTCTTCGATCATACCCCCTCGGGGCAGGTCCTTCTTACCTGCAACGCGTATTTCGTGCAGCCCCCGGAGCAGGAGAAGAGAGGACGGATGGAAAGAAGGAACACGGGGCAGGCGGGTTGCGGAAGCGTGCGTCCCGCATGAATCGCGAGGAAGTCCCGAGCGACGGCGCGATCCATACATAAATCGGAAGGAAATCCAGAGCGAGAGCATGATTCCTGAGTGTCGAGGAGGCGGCGTCTGAATACATTGCTGGGAAGTCCCACGCGAGAGCGCGATTCCTGCATGAGTTGTAAGGGTGTCCCACGCGACAGCGCGGTTCGTCCTCGTCCGCATCCCTATGCGCATCCCCATCCTCATCCTCACCCTCATCCTCACCCTCATCCTCATCCTCGTCCTCATCAGCAGCATCATCACCACCGCCGTCCTCCTTGGCGCACCGCTGCAGCCCACCCACCTCTCGGCACCCCACGCGCCACTCGGCGCCACCGCTGCAGCCCGAGCTCTGGAGGCCGAGACGTCGGGCCTGGGCCGCAGAGGCCCGCTGAAGCCGAGCTTCTTTCTCTTCCAACGCGCGCGCTGAGCTGCCGTGGCGCCGCGCGGCAGCGCCCAACGCCTCGAGAGGGGGCGCCCGGAGCCTCGAAGGGCCCGGCGGAGGGCGGCAGGCCTTTGCAGGGCCGCACACAGAAAACTCGGGTCGGTGCCGGGCAGTTTCGCGTGGGTGTGCCACCTGGGCGGGCCTCCACCAAAGCCTCTGGGCGAGAGTCTGCTGGAGGAGGGAGGGAGGAGGACAAAGGAGGGGAAGGGAAGAGGAGAGCAGAGGAGAGGAGAGGGGAGGGGAGGGGGGGGAAGAGAGGAGCAGAGATCGAAGGGGAGAGAGGATAAAGAGAAGAGGGACAGAAGAGAAGACGAGCGGAGCGGAGATGACAAGAGAAGAGGAGACGAGAGAATACGATGCAAAAACACATGAAAAGAGAAAAGAAGAGGGGAGAAGCGAATAAAAGAGGAGAGGAGAAAAATGGAGAGGATAAAAGAAGTGATAATACACAAGACAGGGAGAGATCATGTTATAGGGTCAGGTGGAGATCACATGTCATAGATAAAGGAGAGAATATACATGATAACAACGTTCAAAGGAAAAGAAGCCACGATAATAAAAGGGCAAAAAGAAAATATACTATGATCTAAGACACTATGAGGTGGGAGCATGGAAGAGAAGAGAGGATAGGAATAGTCACAAGAAGAAAAGCAACGGGAAGCGAGGTTAGAGAATAGACTGGGCCTTGACCTTGTCTTGGGGCGCGGGCCAGGATTCCGAAGCGATCACAAGCATGGCGACGAGGGCCTCCGAGAAGGCCCAAGGAAGACGAAAAACGTTCACACCTAGACTCCTTGAACCTCCGAAATTCTTTGGAGGTCAATGGAAGTCGCTGGAGGCACAAAAAGGTATCTGGAGGTCTCTGGTGGTCTCTGGAAGTCTTCAGAGTCATATGGGAGGCCTCCCTGTTCCCCCTGCTAGAACCCTCCTCCCCCACTCAATCCCAGGCCGCCGACGTCGTGATTCCTGTCACGATGCGAAAAGGTCTTGGTCTCTTCCCCCCTGCCCCTGCTTGACGGGGAACGCGAGGGGGGGGACTGGCTCAGGCGGAGAGCATCGACCTGGAATTGGCGGTGGATCGCCGATAAGTCGGCGATAAGCCCCCGGTCACGACACGGCACGTTCCTGGGCGGGGTGGGCCTATCAGTCCCTATCGCGCGGGGACAGCAAGCGACCGCAACCACATCGAAGGCACACCCTGGGGAATATCTTGCACATAGCAAAGGGTTGTCGGAAGACCAAAACCAGCTGGGTACTGGTGGTGGTCGATTTGTCGTCCCAGGACGGCCAAATGGACCACAACCACAACCGAAGTGTTCATGTCGAAGTCAGTGGGTTCTCCCCCGGGGGGGCCTCGGAAAAAATCGTCTCAGTTGTGGTTGTGGTTCTTTGTTGTGCCTGGATATCGGCGATCAATAAGATAGGCGATTGGGGAGAATGCACTCCCCGCCAGGCGATCCCCCCCCAAGCGTTGCCCCTAACCTACCCCCATGTTGGTCCTGGTTCTCGATGCCCACCCGAAGCAGCAGCCCGCTGGACGTGTCCGCGATGCTGAAGGAGCCCTCCTCGGCAGCCTGCCCCCCCCCCCCCCCCCAAAAAAAACAACAACAACAACAGCAGCAGCAGCAGCAGCAGCAACAACAACAACAACAACAACAACAACAACAACAACAACAACAATCAGTTTAAGACTGTTCGCTCTTACTGGCACGCGTGTCTGGCATTCCGTATACCCCAACCCTCGATACCTGACTACTTCGTCTTCGATTGCACCCCCTTTTCGGGGGGGATATCTTCCTTGTCGGCCACTGACTGAAATGCGAAGATGTCTCGAGCGAGAGCATCATTCCTAGGTTCGGGGGCCTCTCCGGCCAGGGTCTCTCGGAATACCTGTGGAGAAATATCGAACGGGAGCCCTTGTCGCCGTGTCCGGGCCTCCACCAACTTGCCTAAATTACAGGAAAGTCTTGAGCGAGAGCGCCGTTCCTGCGTTCGGGGGCCTTCTTGGCCAGGGGCTCTCGGAGTAAACCGTGAGGAAGTATCGAGCAGGAGCCCTTGTCGTCGTGGCTGGGACTCCGCCAACTTAGTTGAATTGCGATAAAGTCTCGAGCGAGAGCGCCGTTCCTGAGTTCGGGGGCCTCTCTGGCCAGGGTGTCTCGGGGTACTTTAGTAGTGGAAACAATTGGTTTTCAAAATGTTTGGTCTTTAGTAGCTCTGCGTGGCGACGCCCCCGTCGCCACGCGTGCCCTCTGCGTGCCTGCGGGGGCGCCGCCACGTAGAAGTACTGGAGACCGAGCATTTGGGGCGTCGCTACGCACGCCCTCTGCGTGGCTGCGACCATTTGTTAAAACACTAATAAAGTAGTTTGCGAGGAAGTATCGAGCGGGAGCCGCTGTTGTCGCAGCTGGGCCTCAAAGGGCCCGCACGTAGGCTCAAGCCAACGCTCGAGCGGGAGCCTCGTCTTCAGAGAAAACGTAGCCGGCGTCGAAGCGAGAGCGCGCGGAAAGGTTCCGGGTGATCCACAACAATTATTCTTTAGAAATGATTATTCAACAACAATAACAACAGCAGCAGCAACAACAACAGCAGCAACAACAGGTGGAGGAAGAAGACCAATAATAACAACAGCAACAACAACAGCAGAAGCAGCAGCAACAACAACAGCAAAACGAGAGGCCCCAGGAGACAGCAACAGCAGGAGGGAGAAGGGAGGACCCTGAGTCTGTTTATTTCCTAGACATCGTCATGTGTGGGAGAGAGAGGGGAGAGAACAAAAACATGTTGTTAAGATGATGTAATGAGTTGTAGTGCAGAGGTGCACATGTGAACTGTACTCATTTCGGCTCAAGGACGAAAAGTCGAGTTTGCTAGCGCGGCATATGCGATCCAAGGTTCTTCTTTTGTTGTCATGTCCTGTTTTCCATATTCTTCTGGCCAGCAATAGCGTTCTTCGGCCTAGTCCCGCTCCTTGGGGCCTGGTGGAGTTGCCTTACTGGTTGGACTGACGACACTTCCGAATTTGTGGGAGCATACAGCCAGGACAGCTTCTACGCCCTGACCCTCTGCATCGACAACTTACGAACCAGTCACGCTCAATCTTTGCTTCACGCCGACAACCCCTACATCATGGCGGACGCTGCCGCACGCGCCAGTGCCCAAGACAACGGACGATTTCCTTCAGAATCGTTCACACGGAATACGCCTCCAGGATGGGTAAGGGGAATCAATCGATATCTGATCCGAAGGTACGCGCAACTTCTCAGGGCAGAATGGCTTCAAACAGACTTGACGGAGGCCCAGTGGGGCCCAGCTATATGTGGTCGGCTACGAAGACCGGATGTTCCTTTCACGATGAGCCTGCGCACTCCACGGCACCACATGCGTCTCTCCCACCCAGTACAGCGCTTCGTGGCCCCGTAGGGGGGTCCTCCTAAGGCCCCAGAGGTGTGTACCACATGCAGTGGTGTGTACCACATGCGTCTCCCCCACCCAGTACAACGCTTCGTGGCCCCATGTGGAGGTCCACCTCAGGCCCCAGTGGTGTGTACAGCACGGACACGGGCTTGCAGGAGATAATAGAAGCGCCAGAGCTCTTCGCAGAACCAGCCAACGAAGCAGGACAAGTTGGAGCTAATCTGATTCCAGCACAGGAGAGTGGAGCCAAGTTCTTAGTGCAGCAGATACTTGAGGAGCACACGACAGACAGGAGGCAGGATGTTCAATGGGAAGTGCTCACAGCGTTCTTCGAACTATTTCGTGGAAACAGCAAGTTTGGTGATTTCTCCTTTCTTTATGATTTGGCCATTTTCAGATGCAGAGTCTGAATGTGGATTACGGATGGATGAAAGTGGCAGGACCTATTTCTTACCTATACGACCACCCTGCGGGTGATAAGGAGGTTGGGGGGGGGAGGGGCCCAGCAATGGGCAACAGTGGTGAATGTTGTTGTGACAATGCAAGTGGAGATAGTTGCGTTGTCGCTCGACCATCAACATCATCATCATCATCAGCAGCATCATCATCATCATCGTATTCATCATGATCATCAGCATCACCATCATCATCATCATCAACATCATCATCATCATTAATGTCGTCATCATAATCACAAACATCAACACCATGAAGGCCATCATCACCATCAGCATCGCACAATCGATCTCACATCCGGTCTCACTACCGATATCACAATCGATCTCGCAATCGACGTCATCATCATCATCATCATCAGCATCAACAACATCATCATCATCATCATCATCATCATCATCATCATCATCATCATCATCATCGCCATCATCAACATCATCATCATTATCACCATCATCATCATCATCATCATCATCAGCATCACCATCATCATCAGAATCATCATCATAATCTTCATCAACATCATCATCGGGACACCGACGGGACACGGACGGGACACCGGCGGGACACCGGCGGGACACCGCGCCGCCCCAGCCGCCCGGAAGGGAATCATTTCGTCCGGCCGCGCCTCAGCCACACGGGACACCAGCGGGACACCGGCGGGACACCGCGCCGCCCCAGCCGCCCGGAAGGGAATCATTTGGTCCGGCCGCGCCTCAGCCACACGGGACACCAGCGGGACACCGGCGGGACACCGCGCGCCACCGGCCGCCCGGCGGAGAATCATTTGGTCCGGCCGCGCCTCAGCCACAGGAGACTTTCCTCTCGCCCGCCCACGCAGCTTCGCCTCGCCCGCACGGCACGCACGAACACGAAACCGAAATCGATTTCCTGGTAGGGGGGCTCTCCGTTCCACTTCGATCTCACCCCCCAACCTCCGACTACGCGGTGCTCAACGCAGAGAACGACAACACGTTGATTATCGAAGTTGATGGAGACCTCTCGAGACACGGCGACGCCAGACGGTTGTAAACCAAAACGCCTGGAGATCATGATGCGGCTAAATCTGCGACTTTACACGGCATGGCAGGAGTTTATCACACCTCAGGAGATGGCAAGACGATACATGGCATGACGATTACTGGAAATAGCAATGGGTGGCAATGGAACGAAGACGAATCTCGGCAGAACGAGCCCTCTTGGGGAGATCAAGAATGGAGTGGAGCAAATCACGTCGGCGACCAACACGATCCACAGCAAGCTGAAGCATACTGGGGCAAAGGCAATCTTGCTGAACGCAGAGAAGGTTGTACAACATGTGGACCCAAGTGGCATTCACGCACGGACTGTCCTCCTCCCAGTGGAGGTTCGAGTCAAGACCATCAGAGCTTCAGCGGAATGTGTGGCGAAAGCAATGACAAAGGCAAGTGCGCGAGGAACTATGGTAGCGGCAGGAACGAAGGCTACACCAACAGACGAAGGCAAAGACATAAGCAAATCGCCCATTTCAAAGGCTATCGAAAAGGAACAGAGTCAAAATATGCACTCGTGGCAAGAGCAAAAGAAAAAAGGACACCGATATCGAAATGGAAGCACATTTATTCTTGAAGATGGCCCTGCCGAATTTGACTACGAGTACCAGTGCGACGAGACGAACGACGGTGATGTTACTGTCTGGTATGAAGGTGATGGAGTCTATGGCAAGAGCCAACAATCAACTGGCGACACGTGCTAGAGGAGTATGCTGATGGAAGGCTGGTACAGCAACCTGTCTCCAATGGCGCTTGGACAGCGTTGCAGACAAACGACTCCTGGGAAGCTATTGGCACCAGCAGTCGCGAACCGACGCCACCTCAGACAACACCTCGTGTTCCAAATTGGTCAAATTTGGAGCCTCAAGAGTATCTACCAGCGCAGGGAGGCACATCAACACCGTCAGCTTCGAGTGCGCTAGCAGCTTCAGACGCGCGAACAGTACATTCACGACTACCTCCAGAATGAAACGTTGACTGCTTGCTGGCACGGTGACAAAGATGCAGGATTTGGAGTTTAAAACCCTGGGGCCCTGGAAGCTCAGAGTTCACAATGAGGGACTTCTACAGCGACGCGCCCTATGAGGGGCAGAAGTGGATTGTCAAAACAGCATTGTTCTCAGACATGTTGCTTCCAGGTCCTCGCATCTCACAAGCAAGGGAAGTTGCCAGTGAATCAAACAGCACCGCGTTGGTGGCAACCCCTGACACCCCCTAACTACTCATCTCGGGCTGTCAGAAGTTCTATATGATTCGTGTGCGCTATTCGCGTGGCACGCCCGTCGATACGGGCGCCACCGAGGCAATCATGGGCACCGACACTATGAAGGAATACATCATCGATATCCTATCCAAGTGTGGCAGGGCGGTTTCGGTGAGGAATTCTGACAGCGCGCTCACTGGCATCGGAGGCCGGCCGGAGAGAAGCAAACAACTGGCTGAGACACCTCTGGGCCTTTCACTTCCAGGCGTCGCTGAGGTCACGACTGCTCTGGATTCGCTCGGCGGCATGGGCGCGAAGTGTCCGGGCCTGCTTCCCCGGAACGTCCCACTCCGACTTCAGTCGTCAATGCTCTGCGGAGCGCTGCAAGGAGGAGACGGCATCACGATTATCAAAGTGGTGGGTACAGGAGGCCGACATGCCATAGCAATACCTCCGACATTCTTCATCAAGCTCTATCGGACCACCCAATGCAATCGGTTCCCTTCCGACCAGCGACTTCAAGGAGGCCAGCTGGGCGGATCAGAATGAACTACGGAGGACAGGAGTGCAATGCTTCAACGAGGTCACGCGCACGCCTGCCGCCAAGCACTACAAGAGGCGGGAAGGCGCCACTGGCAAGGACGCTGGCCCCCTGACGCTTGCAGTCAGGACGTCAGGCCCAAGGGGCGAAAATGGCCCAGATTAACTTTTGGGATGCAGATCACGAGATCATGGTTTCCAGATCGCACAGTATCAACATTGCATGACAACTGGCACCACTCCCAGTTCACGAGCCTCCGACCATGCCATCGACGCCAACTAGGACACCAGTAGCACTGGCATTATCAGCACCTTCGACACGCTCCGCTCCAGAGGCAACTGAAGTCGATCAAGCGGTAGTGATGGAATTCAAGACTCTGGCTGGGACATTGCCCGAAACGCAGGAGCAGCATGCATCATGGATGAAGTTCTCTGGCCAGGTCTACACCGAAAACGTTTGACCTCAGCATTGGACTACGAAGCGTAAGACGGACGCAGACAAGCACTATCTCGGCATGCCCGAGGACAGCTCTCTTCCAGTGGTTACGCCAGCTGCACTCGAATGGCTACACCACGTCAACTCAGCCATCGAGGTCAACATCCCGAAGCACACTTTGGACATCCAAGACTACTGCGCAGAACCAGCCAGACTTTCACTGGCTGCACTACATACGAAGCTGAATGTGGGATTTCCAATTGACTGCGGGTATGGATGGGGCCCGGGCTGAACTGATCACCAGCACTTGTTGGACGAGGTGAACAATAAGCTCAACATCAGTCTAGCTTTTTTCTCAAAGGTGCTGTCCCTGGTGGAAGGCGACGACCACCTCAAAGGCAGAGACCAAGGATCGAGAACGTCAAGAAGAGAGACATGATCTCCCGTGGATTACATGGTTGAAAGTAGGTCCTGGACTCAAAAGGAAAGAAGGGACACCTCATGACTCACAGCTGCTCACGGAGAGCCCCTACGCGTGCATCCTCAAGGACAAGCGCACCGTTTCAGCAGTCATAGATCACTGCCAAAATTGAGCCAAGGACTCAGACAGCAAAGGCCTGCCCAACAACACGACGACGATCCTCGACGACACCAACATAGAGATCAGTCCGTCTACGATGCTGCGCTGCAATGGGGAAAACAAATGCCCGTATCATGGCGAGCTTGCAGGGGAGATTCCTAGGGCGAGCACACGGAGCACATCTGCAACTACAGCATATGCGTGGTAACCCCGTCTGACTTTGTGTAGACATGTATGGCATTGTATTCTCGGTAGGGACAGTTCATTGTCAATGATGGTTTTCTGGGCGTGCGATCGATGCAAGAATGGAGCTCGCTATCCAGGCGCTAACATGCGAGCCACGCCGGTACATGCTAGAGCTGAGGCTTGCAAGTTCAAAAATACGGTGGCACCTTCAACAGCAGTCGTCGGAGTACATTCAGTAGTAACTGTACCTTCTCGAGCTCCAGCTCCAGCTCCAGCACCTCCATCGGGTGTTGCTAGAAAAACCCCGGGCCCAAGGTGCCCCCAGCTTTCCGCTCCATTTTGGAGCCCCTGGGGCCCTCTGGGCCTCGTGAGGGGTGCTCTGGAGGCCGCTCGTGGCACCCCTAGAATCCTGAGGGCACCTTGACCCGGGGGCACTTCTAGCAACACCCGACTCTACCACCCGAAGGACTGGAACCACCAGCTCCCGCTGAGGCCTCCAGCAGCAGCAGTTCGGCACCGCTCCAGGCACCACAGCCTCACGAGCCCACCATAGCGCACCGCCTGCGGCACCCGCTCCACCGCTCGACGGCAGACCTGTCGAGGGAGTACCCGAAGGAGCCTCAAGGCTTGCCGCCCTGCTTGAGTACACTGAGCCATCCTTCAACATTAGGATGCTCAGGCGGAAGCTCGGGGGCCCCAAGATCACAACGACAGAGGCCCAGAAACTGCTGATGGGACTCCACTCTATAAGTCGTGGCATCTTCCAGCCAGCAAGACGGCTACAACACCTCGGACGTTGTAACTTCTCACAGCACGTGGCATCACAAATACAATCGACGATAGCCAAGTGCAAGTTTTGTGCCGAATTGGGAAAGACACCTACCAATCCCAAATCAGCAGGCACGATCCTGGCCAATCACAACAATCATCGGGCACATACGGACATCTTCACCCTGTGGGGCCGCATGTACGTGATCCTCGTCGACGAGGCGATACATTGGGCATGCCGCGACCACCTCATCACGAAGGACTCCGATGGTTAGCATCAAGTTGTCTCGAGATGCTGGGCAAGCTATTTCGGACCTCCCAGGGTCCATGTTTCAGACCAAGAGGACACTGTGTTCGGTGACTTCGTGGGAAAGGCGTGCGACGTATACGACATCGAGCGAGACCTTGGGGGATCGGATCCGAAAGACATACTCGGACTGGCTTAGCGGGACGACGTCTTGGACGGGTCAAACTTGCAGCTCTCAAGCTTTATTCACAGGTGCTGAAGGAAGGCATGCGCAAGAGCCAGTACGACTGCGTCAACGAGGCAAGTCCGCATTCTAACTCGGCCCTGGCCCACGAGAGCTCGACACCAAACCGAACGCTCTCGGGCTTCGAGCCGGGCGACTTCTGCCACCACGACAGCAAGGCGGTCTCGGCGACCAGCGACGCGAATCTCGGGAGCCCAGATTCGATCGAATCTCAGATTCGCCTGAGGTTTCACGCTAAAGAGGTTATCGCCCAGGCGGTCATCGAGCATCGCATTGCCGAGGCAGCCAACATTAAGCCCCAGCTGCATTCGCCGGAGACGCTCAAGCAGATCGAGAAGCCAAAGACCAAGGTGGATTTTTGCAGAGAACCGCCCTCCAAGGATCGAAGTGGATGGCGCGGCCCGGCAGGGATGGTCAAGTGCATGAACAAGGAGAATAAGTGCATCATTACATGGAGAGGCCATCCCATACTAGTTCCACCACGACATATACGACCTCACATTGGGTTCGCGAAGCTGACCAAGACGAGAGCAAAGAGCTAAAGTCAAGGCTGCGACATCTCCAGCCCTAGACAGTTCAAGATCAATAATACATAGACTACCACCAGAACCTCCAGAACATCCAAATCTGCCGCCAGCCAAGATAGCGACCTCGAAGACACCGGCTACCGAGCGAGCGATCACGGCACGTCCAGCTGAGAGACATCTATAAATCATCAAGGGCAGCATCGTCGGATCGGTCGAGATCTAGAATTAGAGACAGGCAAACCGCTTTCCCGTGGCCAGCACCGCCTCAAGAGATCAGGCAGCCAACGCCGCCTTTGGAGGCCAAGATAGCTACACCGCCACCGAGCATCAAGCCGCAATCGCCAGAAAGTGCATCCAGCTACCGATCACGGACGAGAGTGGAGATCAAGAAGGTGGAGATCATCACGACACCTGAGAATAAGCTCGTTGATCCTGAATCGCCGGTTGCGGAACCAGCCTTACCTAATGGAGAACCTGTTGAACGAGGACCCGTTCTACCATTAGAACATCCACCACCGACGCTGGTAGTACAACAACAAGGACAAGATGACAACAAAAAGACTGGACCGTCACCGACTGCGCCAGCCTCATCAAGAACAACGGGACCGTCATCGATTGCCCAAACGACGCTGGCAAGCAGCGCAGGATCACTGGATCCAGCTCCAACTACAGGAGCACCAGAAGCAACGACAGCTGCAGACCTAGCAGCAGATACCACAGTGGACTGTCCACCTGGATCGCTGGACGCGACGATCGAGCATCCACCTGGAACAGCTGACGAGACCCTCGACTACCCGCCTGAATCCTTAGAAGAGCCGTTGTCATCTCGAAAATCCGGGACCCTTCTCTAACTGGCACCCTCTTCATAGTATCAATATTGTGCAACAAAATGTCCAATGTCGACGAGATGCCATCAACACCGCCAAATGACGACTTCGACCTAATAACGCATACAGCTGAGGACGCAGGTGGAATTCAAAACTGGTTTTCCTCTTCTACGTCAGGGTCGACATGGACGGTACAGGAACCGCTCTTGGTTATCTCAGGGCCATTGCAGAAGGAGACATGTCTCTGGTACGATATTCTGGCAGACGAATCTTCTTTGCAATTCAAGAGGATTTCTTGACCGAGAACGACGTCATCAAGTACTGGGAACACGTTGGGAATGGAGATCGAGATGAGATCAAGTCTTTCGTGCCACGCGACGTATTCATCCTGGACAAGGCTAGCAACAGCACCAACACGGTCGACGCGGCATGGGTGCGAAAATGGAAGGCACGACATGCACCAGCAGTCAATTCACGATTGTGCGGACGAAGCTTCATGGACGTTCAGCGTACAGGGGTACAGCAACACTCATCTACAGTTCAAGCACTGTCGCATGGATAGGCTTTGGAGCTCAACACCAGTGGGAACTGCGAGGCTTTCGACGTCCCGACCGTATTATTGATGTGGTTACACTTCCAAGAGAACGAAGCACGAACGAAAGAACTTGGTCATGAATGTAAGCGCATCCGGACAATATGGCTACAACCTCCAGCGAACGTGAGGCGACATCTCCGGATGGTGGGTTCCACGACATTCGATGACATCGAGAGACTTCTCTTGGTTCTATTGCAGAACAAAGCAATGTATGGACTGGTTGGTGGACCGGTTCTGTTTCAGATGGCATTATGGAGTCTCTGATCAGCGAGCTGAAGTTCTTCAGGTTACTGCACGCTGACAACTGCCTACATGAAAAGATATGTTATACACAGCGGTTCTATTGCGGAGCGAAGCAATGTATGGACTGGTTGATTGACCAATTCTATGTCATATGGCATGATGCAGTTTCTGATCAACGAGCTGAAATTCTTCAAGTAACTGCACGCTCACAAACTGCAAGTAGATATGCATATATATATATATATACATATCAGAATGAAGGGGGCCGAACGGTCATTCCTTGTCCCTGGGCGCGTGGCTGGATAGGGATCGTGGTGAGAATGTGTTGCTATTGTTGCTAATGTTGATGTTGTTGCTGTTGGTGGTGTTGCTGTAAGTGTTGTTGATAATGATGTTGTTGCTGCTGTTGTTGTTGTTGGTGTTGTTGCTGCTGTTGTTGTTGTTAGTTGTCGTTGTCCCACCCGCGACCCACCCCGCGACCCACCCCGCGACCCACCCGCGACCCACCCCGCGACCCACCCCGCGACCGACCCCACGACCCACCCGCAACCCAACCCGCGACCCACCCGCAACCCACCCCGCGACCCACCCGCGATCCACCCGCGACCTACCCACGACCCACCCCGCGACCCACCCGCGACCCACCCGCGACCCATCCGCGACCCACCCGCGACCCACCCGCGACACACCCCGCGACCCACCCGCGACCCACCCCGCGACCCTCCCTCAAGGGAGGAAAAACCACCCAGGCCCGACATTTGACGCTTACTAAACGGCCCTGGGCGTTTACTAAACAGCCCTGCCGTGTTCGATTCATTTCTTGCGTGCGTTTACTAAACGGCTTCGCTTGTCGGGTTGTTTCTTATGGGGTGGATTTTCTGCCCTCTACACCCGCATCCCGCCCGCAACCCAACAGCTACTCAACAGCGACCCACCCGCGACCCACCCGCGACCCAACAGCGACCCACCCGCGACCCACCCGTGACCCATTTGCGACCCACCCGCGATCGACCCACATTGGTTTAACGAAAAATCGGCGCCTGCGGCGGGCTCGTTGTATAATTTGTGAGTGAAACTTTGGCGCCTGCGGCGGGCTTCTCCAGAGTCTCGCAAACTGCCGACGCCCCCACCACCCCCTCACTGTTATCCGCATATGCGGGGTGTTACGTATAGATGTTCGACAAGGGATCTTCTCTGGCATGTATCAATGGTTTGCAAGTTGATGGTTGCTCTTTTTAGCCACGCGAAGATTTGATCTTCTGGGCACAGCAGCACGTGGAATGCAAGTTTGGCGAACTGAAGCAGCAAACCGTAAGTATCACATGATGTGGGAGTTTGTCACTGAAGGCTCGACAAAAGACACTTCCTTCTGCATCAGAAGCCATACTTGGATCGCATCAAGCCGATGATCCCCGTAGAGACGACGGCGGGCACGGCCGAACTACGCGATAAGGATCGCCATGCCTCCAGATCTCTATTGATGAGTACGCTATGGCTGACCAAGACGAGATGTGACACTCTACCAGAGGTTGTCGACCTGCAGACGGGGATGATAAACCCGAAGGGCATTCACGTCAAGTAACTGAATGGAGTTCATAAGCAAGCACTTGCGAATCAAGAACCGGACTGACTGCATTTCAGGAATCTCAAACTAAATCGGCGGCTGGCTCCAATGACAAAAAGCGGCCAAATCACCAACAGCACCTGCTATCCGCAAGAAGCGCGCATCGTCTTAACCGCCAGAGACAATGCAGCACTGCGTTACGGAACCCAAGAGCAGTACTACGGCGAAGAAGCAAAGGTGTTCAAGGGCGTGGCATGCCCACTGTCTATTTGTTTTTGTTGTGTTTATATATATATATATCAAAACAAAAAAAAGTCCCTTGGACGACTTCACGATCTGAGACGAATCCAGCAAAATTCTGCGCGGCCACGGGAAACATCATAGCAGCCAGAATTACGGAGTTGGAGTATATCATGGCATTTGGAAAGGTACACAGGACGAGACCTACTGGAAGCACACATGCGATCGCAACACCAAGTTCCAGTGGACACCGTGTACGGACGCGATGACCCTCTTCGAGCTGATTTGTTTCCCTAAATCATTGCCCGATGGCAAGCACCATCGAGTTGGCATTCTAGCTTCACAAAAGGATCGACCGACAGGGAGGATTCGAAATATCAGGCATCTTTCGACCACGGTCATGTCAGTGAGCGAGCGCACAAAGAAGATGCGATCGCCGATTTGCATGAGTGTTCTGCCAGCTGGTGATTGGAGAAGTGACTTGAAGGAGAGAAGCGTCCGCCTTCGACGCGGAATGCGGCATCCAGCTACGTATACCGAACATTACCTACGAGACAATACCTATGCCACAGCTTCCAACGACATTGGCGAATCGTTGGGGCTGATTGATAATGTGATACCACATCATCAACAGCATCCGCAACATCACCATGACCCTCGCCATCGTCGCCGTCATGGTCAGCATCGTTGTCGTCATCATCGCCACCATCACCACCATCACACTCAACGCCACTGCCACCACCACAGTAATCACCCTCAGTATCATCATCACCATCATCACCATCAGCATCATCCTCATCAGAATCATCATCGTTGGCATCATCGCCGCTACTACCATCACCATCTCACCACCATCATTATCAGCGGCATGATCAGAAGCAGCAGCGTCAGCATCACCACGGTCCTACTCACCAGCAGCATCACCATTATCAGTATCACCCACATCATCAGCATCATCACCATACTCATCATACTCATCATCATCATCATCAGTATCATCATCACCGTTCTTATCATCATCATCATCATCATCATCAGCAGCAGCAGCATCAGCAGCATCATCATAATCGCTACCACCATCACCATCACGACAGTCACTCCCACCTTCATCAGCATGGGCAGCAACATAGTCATCATCGTCGTCGTCATCAGCACCACCACCAACAACATCATTTCCACCACCATCACCACCATCACCGCCATCATCATCAACATCAGCATCACCATCATCATCATCATCATCATCATCATCATCATCGTCATCATCATCATCATCATCATCATCATCATCATAATCATCATCCGAAGCATCCGAAGCATCCGAAGCATCGTCGTCGAGATGTTCAGCATCGACGTCGTCATCACCACCACCACCACCATCATCATCATCCTAGAATCGTCGGCGTCGTTGTCAGAATCGACGCCGTCATCATCACCAACATCACCATCATCATCATCATCATCATCATCATCAGCATCATCAGCCCCACGATCAAGGCCACTGCAACCACCACAATAATTATCATCACCAGGTGCAGCAACATCGTCGCTACTATCATCATCCTCACCACCACCAGCATCCTCACCACAATCATCATCAGCATCAACACTAGCAGCAGCAGCGTTACCATCACCACGGAAACACTCATCAGCAGCATCGTCATCATTATCACTCGCATCAATCTCATCATCAGTAGCATTACCGTCAGCATCAGCATTGTCCTTATCATCATCATCAGCAGCAGCATCATCATCACCATCGTCATCGCTACTATGATAAGCACAAGCGCGACAATCATCCTCACTTTCATCAATATCGCCAGCTGCATATCATCGTCAACAGCATCACCACCATCATCATCATCATCATCATCATCATCATCATCATTGTCATCACCATCACCACCATCATCGCCATAATAAGCATCAAAGTCATCATCAGCAGCAGCATCATCGTCATCAGTATCGTCATCATCACCATCGTAATGATCATCATCATCATCAACATCACCATCATCACCAGTATCAACATCATCAGCAACATCACCGTCATCATCATTGTCGCTGTCAACCTCGAGGTCAGCGTGATCATCATCCTCATTATCATCATCATGAGCATCATCAGAATCATCATCCTCAGCCCCATCCTCATCCTCATCATCACCAACATCATCAGCATCATCATCACCAACATCATCAGCATCATCATCATCACCAACATCATAATCATCATCATCATCATCATCATCATCGTCATCATCATCGTCATCACCAACATCATCATCATCATCATCACCAACATCATCATCATCATCATCATCATCACCATCATCATCATCATCAGCATCAGCATCAGCATCATCATCATCATCATCATCATCAGCATCATCATCATCATCATCATCATCATCAGCAGCATCAGCAGCAGCATCAATGGGGGTGGGCCTCCACCAGCATGTCCACGGGCACCATGAACCGGCAGTCCCCGGGCACGTAGCCGCCGGCGCCCTGGCCCTGGCTGGCGGAGCCGCCGCCGAGAGCGAAGGCGCTGCCTCCCCGGGGGCGCCGCCCGCCCGCCCATCGGCCGCGGAGGGAACAGCATCGCGGGAGGCGGCCTCCCTCCTCCTCCTCCTCCTCCTCCCTTCCCCCCTCCCCCCTCCTCCCCCGGTCCTCCTCCTCCTCCTCGGCCTCCTCCTCCTCCCTCCTCCTTCTGCTCCTCCTCCTTCTCCTCCTCCTCCTCCTCCTCCTCCTCCGTTCCTCTTCCTGATAAAAAAACTTCCTCCTGTCGCACCCCGAGACCAGTTTTTAGGGCGGGTCGGGCGTTTCGCCTTAGACTTCGCCACCACTTATGACCCTGATGCTCTAAAAACGGATTGAAGGCGGGTGGTTTCAACATGTGGCTCTGCCGCGCACATTCGCTTCAAAGAAAAACTGCACGAGCTTGACGGATTGAGGGCGGGTGGCTTTCAAAATGTGGCTCTCACCTCAAAGCCGCACACATTCGTTTTAAAAATGTGCAAGAGTTTCACGTATTGAGGGCGGGTGGTTTTCAAAATGTGGCTCTCGCCTTAGCGCCGCGTATAGTCGTTTTAAATAACTGCAAGAGTTTGACAGACTGAAGGCGCGTGGTTTTCAAAATGTGGTTCCCGCCTTAACGCCGCGCGCAGTCGTTTGAAAAATGTGCAAGAGTTTCTCGGATGGAGGGCTTGTGGTTTTCAAAATGTGGCTCTCGCCTGAGCGCCGCGCACATTCGTGTTGACAAATTCTGCAAGAGCTTCACGGGGTGAGGGCGGCTCCTTTTCAAGATGTGGTGTTTGCCCTAGCACTGTGCACATTCGTTTTGACAAAAATAACAAGAGTTCCATGGATTCCCATGATCAGCGTACCGCAAATAGTGTTATTGGAAGGATTCAGGATATATGAGGGTGCAACAGTTACGTTGATTCGCTTTGTTGAAATCTCAAGAATGGCGTTCTGGCACAATTCAAGACGCAACAGCCAGGTTGATCCGTGGCGTTGAAATATGGACAACAACTTTTGGGAATGCTTCAGGGTCTTCAGTCGGTTGTCTTCTAACGAGGCACTTCCGTCAGTGGAAATGCACCGCTGCAGGGTGTTATGAAGAGAAGGTTCGGAGGGACGGTGTATTCCAACATCGTTGATGACTCCTGGGTTTCCACTGGTCCTCCTCCTCCTCCTCCTCCTCGCGCCCCTCCTGCTCTCCCTCCTCGCTCGCGCCCCCTCCCATCGCTTCTGGGGCCCACTCCGATCCGGGCGCCCTCGGTTCGACGAGTTTTCCGGACGTCTGCGACGGCCCCCGGGGGGGTCCTCCTGGCCTCGGGATGTGCTCCAGCAGCTGCGCCTCACCGAGGGCCCCCCGGGGCTGCCAGGATCGTCCTGGACGGCCGCCGGAGGCCAGGGCTGTGGCCCGAAGGCCATCGAGGGAGGGACCTCCCACGAACGAAAGCATCAAGACGGGAGTCTTTGGCCGCTCACGGCCTCTTGCTGGGCCCCTGCTGGGCCCACTGGGGCGGCCAAAAGTCGACCCCGAGGCGCGTGGAGGTCGAGGAGGTCGAGGGGGAGCAGGAGGAAGAGGAGAAAGAGGGGGAGCAGGAGGAGGAGGAGGAGGACGAGGAGGACTAGTGTGAACCCAAGACGCGTCAGCGATGTTGCAGCAAACCCTCCCTCCAAGTTCCCTCTTCACAGGTCCCTAGAATAATGTCTTTTCATGGCGGAAACTGCCCCATTGGAAGACAAGCGCCTGAGAATCCTCAATCGTGCCAAAACCCCCGTCCTGCGACTTCAACGTCGCGAATCGGCGTGACTGATGCGTCCTGACAACCCTGAACAGTGCCAACACAACATTCCCGGGACTTCAACACCGAGAATCAGCGCGACGGCTGCGCCCTGACAATCCTGAATCGTGCTAGAATGTCCTTTCTGGCACTTCAGCCATACCAGTCCTGGACACTGCTACAAACCTTCAAAGCGAATATGCGCGGCGCTCAGACAAGAGCCACATATTGAAAAGGAACAGCTCCCCGTCGTTGAAGCTGCTACCAGCATTGGAAGCGAACGTGCCCGGCGCTAGAGCGAGAGCCACGTTCTGGAAACCATCCACCCTCGATCCTTGCTACTTTGAAGACGAATGCACGCGGCGCTAAGGCGAGACAAATATTGAAAAAAACCAGCCCTCCATCCTTGAAACTGCTGCAAACTGTGAAGACGAGCGCGCGCGGCGCTACGGCGAGAGCCAAATCTTGAAAAGCATTCCGCCCTCCATCCTTGGAGCTGGAAAATGTTTAAACGAATGTGCGCGGCGCCAGCGCGATAACCACATCTTGCATACGACCCGCCCCCGATCCGCGTGCAAAAAAAAAGGCTTCAGGATCAGTACTGGTGAGGAAGTCTCAAGCGAAACGCCCGGCCCACCCTGACCACACGTCCGGGAGTGCAACAGGGATAAGCTATTTGTGACAAAAAATGGAGGAGGAGGAGGAGGAGGACGACGAGGAGGAGGGCGGAGGAGGAGGAGGGCAGAGGAGGAGGAGGAGGAGGGCGGAGGAGGAGGAGGACGGAGGAGGAGTAGGAGGAGGAGGAGGAGGAGGCGGGGGAGGTCCAAGGCGAGTAGGTCGAGGTCGAAGCCGAGGACGGGGTCGAGGGCCAGGAGGCCGGCGCGCAGGAGGAGGGCGAACGGACGAGGGATTGCACAGAGACCTGCCTCCCCCCCAGGGTCGCACGAGGTTTAGACAGGGACAACATCGAACTGTGATAACTCTGGGACGTGACACGCGCACACGCATACGCGCGCACGCGCACGCGCACGCGCACGCGAAAGCACAACCGCGTGCGCGCGCGCTCAGGATCGGGCTCGGTCTCTGGCTCGGGCCCGGGCTCGGGCTCGACTGGACCCCATGCTCGCCCTCGCGCTCGGGCTCGGCCCGGGCTCGCGCTCGGGCTCGGCTTGCAGTGGTCCGGTGGGTTGTCCCGTGGCCGTCCCGCGGGCTGTCCCGCGGCCGCCCCGCGGGCCGTCCCGTGGCTTCTTCCACGCCCTGGATGGTCCCCTGGGTTGTCCCGCGGTGGCCCCGCGGATGTCCGATGATTCCACGTGCGCGCACACAGGCGAATGATGGCATGAATTGGTGAACGCATGTGCACGCGCAGACACACGTCGAACTGCTTGTGCGCGCGCATGCATGCATGTTGGACGTGCTCACAAGACCTGCTCAGACGGATCCGAAACTGGCGCACGAGGCGCGGGCCCGAACCGCACATGCACCACTAACATCTTACGAAGCAGATCGCTGCCCGGGCGGCATGGCCAGAAAGTGCACGCCAACGAGCGTATACAGTATTTGGCCTGACCTAAGGAACGATAAACAAGGAACGAAGCCACTTTTTGTCCCAAGTAAACCTAGAAGTCCGAAGGAACACCAGGGGGGCTCGCCGCCAAAAAGGTAGCGGAACGCATGCAAACCAAAGGAACGACCGAGCCCCTTTTGAAAAGCAAGTGTTCCCTATTCAAGCCGGACCCTGTACTGTGAGGTCTCTGAGAACGCGCGTTGCCCCTGGCGAGGCCGGCGCACACATAGTATAAGTACGCATGCTTGGGTGACGCCGAATGGTGGAGGGAGAGTCTCCCAACGTTGGTAGCCACGGCCTGTCATGCCCGAGCTGCGGCCGAAGAGATTCAGACAGTGCAACAGTTCTCGACACGGTGGGCCACGCTCTTGCAGAACGACGACAACAAATTAGCCTGGCGAAGGACCCAACCATATGCAGCTGCGAGTACCGCACGGATATGAGACGAAGGAGGGGGCACGCAAACTAGGCCCCTCTTCTCATAGGCACCGCGCCACTGGGGCCTTCGGTGGAGCTCCCTATGGGGCCACGAAACGTGTGAGGGGTGTGCCGAAATGGGTGGTGGGGAGGCATGCGGACCCTGCCACTGGGGCCTTCGGTGGAGCTCCCTATGGGGCCACGAAACGTGTGAGGGGTGTGCCGAAATGGGTGGTGGGGAGGCATGCGAACGCAGCCACTGGGGCCTTCGGTGGAGCTCCCTATGGGGCCACGAAACGTGTGAGGGGTGTGCCGAAATGGGTGGTGGGGAGCCACTGGGGCCTTCGGTGGAGCTCCCTATGGGGCCACGAAACGTATGAGGGGTGTGCCGAAATGGGTGGTGGGGAGGCATGCGAACGCAGCCACTTGGGGCCTTCGGTGGAGCTCCCTATGGGGCCACGAAACGTGTGAGGGGTGTGCCGAAATGGGTGGTGGGGAGGCATGCGAACGCAGCCACTGGGGCCTTCGGTGGAGCTCCCTATGGGGCCACGAAACGTGTGAGGGGTGTGCCGAAATGGGTGGTGGGGAGGCATGCGAACGCAGCCACTGGGGCCTTCGGTGGAGCTCCCTATGGGGCCACGAAACGTGTGAGGGGTGTGCCGAAATGGGTGGTGGGGAGGCATGCGAACGCAGCCACTGGGGCCTTCGGTGGAGCTCCCTATGGGGCCACGAAACGTGTGAGGGGTGTGCCGAAATGGGTGGTGGGGAGGCATGCGAACGCAGCCACTGGGGCCTTCGGTGGAGCTCCCTATGGGGCCACGAAACGTGTGAGGGGTGTGCCGAAATGGGTGGTGGGGAGGCATGCGACGCAGCCACTGGGGCCTTCGGTGGAGCTCCCTATGGGGCCACGAAAATGTGGGCCACGAAACGTGCATGACTGGGGCCTTCGGTGGAGTGGGGCCACGAAACGGTGGGTGGTGGGGAGGCATGCGAACGCAGCCACTGGGGCCTTCGGTGGAGCTCCCTATGGGGCCACGAAACGTGTGAGGGGTGTGCCGAAATGGGTGGTGGGGAGGCATGCGAACGCAGCCACTGGGGCCTTCGGTGGAGCTCCCTATGGGGCCACGAAACGTGTGAGGGGTGTGCCGAAATGGGTGGTGGGGAGGCATGCGAACGCAGCCACTGGGGCCTTCGGTGGAGCTGCCTATGGAGCCACGAAACGTGTGAGGGGTGTGCCGAAATGGGTGGTGGGGAGGCATGCGAACGCAGGAGGGAGGAGGGCGAGGAGAAGGAGGAGGAGGAGGAGGAGAAGGAGAAGGAGGAACGCGGGGACCGTCTCTTCAAAACGAGGACCCAACACCACAGGATGGTTGGGAAAAACAAGCACGCGGGAAGTTACTCCTCAATCTCGGCATCTCTAGTCCCAGGACTGTCGGACACCAGGCAAGATTCAAGGAACCTCCCTGTGGACACCGAACAGGGTCCAGGGACTGGTATCGACTGGATGGAATGAGCTTCCTGAGGCACGGGCAACGAAGCGAGAGACGACAAGCATGGCCGGCACGTCCGGGCGCATGAGTCCACAGGTGCTCACGGGGCGCGACGTGGCAGGAGTGAGAGCGACGACTCCCTCTCCAAGCGGCGCCACGGAGAGCCGCAGCTTGCTCGTCAGGCACTGGGCTGTCGATCTTCACCCAGCTGTGACCCGAATGCTGGCTGCATCACTCCAGCTTGGGCCGATACCCCTGCTTCGCACCATATGGATCCATCGTGCTGCTGCTCCGCTTGCGACACGGCGTAAGCGCCCCGTCCCGTCCCCGCCTTCTGACGTACAGCTCATGCCGCCAAGGCTGACGTTGCCAGAGCTGTTAGGCACTCCCCCCTGGGTCGGCTGAGAGGTCCTCCAATTACTCATCCATGTGCCTCCTCCTTCGTCACCGCAAGGTGTGAGGACGAATGCACCGCTGGCCCTGACTCCGTACGACTGCATTGGGCGACATCCTCACACAACCAGCGACTTGCGCGCAAAGCCACAGGGGGTCAGACAGGCTAAGCGGAAATTACATAGACAGGATGCAGGAAAACAATTAGGATAACTGCAATGCTCAAACTCCGACGCGTCCAAGCAGCATGCGAATGGCATCTCAGAGCGAGGCTTGAAACCTCCATCAAAAAAAAGGCCACACTACAGACGAACACAACGGCGATTAAACAAACATGCAATAGCTGCGAGTCATCCAAAGCGTCGCGAGAGATAAGACGAGACGTAGATGCGCGTGAACACACTGAAGCCCCCCGATTGGGTACAGGGACATCGGTATGTTGGTGAGAACGGAGCTACGTGGAACACGCCTTTTGCATTAGATGCGCACTGTGACGAAGTGATGAACATAAAGGGCGCATCTATAACATGGACATGCTAGACCAAAACAAGACCAGGACAAGCGGTTGGAACAGTAGCAGCGGTGCGAGAGGGACGAATGAACACAAGCCCGAACAAGAGTACTGCACGCAAGCACTCACACACGCATTGAACCATCCTCATTCGATACCTGATGAGTGCCGAGTGAAGTCGATGTATCCAGCGACATGGAGCCTTGACCGAACAAAGTTGTACTCGGACTGCTGACCTTCATTCCTCTCATCACCGTCATCCGCCTCCTGCTCCTCAAAATCCCTCCCCCTTCCCATCCTCGTCACTCTCGTCCCTCGCTCCCCCCCCCCCCCCGCGGCTCGCAGGAGGTCTGAAGCGCAGGGCAAGGAAATTCAAAACACCGTGCGCGCATGCCCCCTTGGAGCCGGGAAGGGCCCTGTTGAAACCCGCAGCTTTTCAACATCACAACCCTATACGTACATAGAAGCTGCAGTGTGCTGGGCCTTGGGGGCCGCTTCTGGGCCTCAGGTTGGCCCCGCGCCAGCGCAGCACTCTGAGCGACGAATATGTATCGATATATGTATATATATACATATACATATACAAACATGCATAAATGCATGCATACATACACACATACACACATACATACAGACATGCATGCATACATGCATGCAGACATACATACGTACATGCATACGTACATACATACATATACGTACACACATACCTACCTGCATGCATATATACATATATACACACAGACATTACATTACACTACACTACATTACAGTTCACTACATTGCACTGCATTGCATTACATTGCATTACATTATATTGAATTACATTACACACATACACACAATCAGACATACATACCTACATACATACATACATACGTACATACATACATACATAGATGCATACACACATACATACATGCACACAGCAATACATACACATACATACAAACAAACATATACATACACACATACACATATATACATACATACAAACAAACAAACATATATATATATATACACAAACAACAAACATACAATACATCACACATATATGCATACAAACAAACAAACAAACAAACATACATACATACATACATACATACAGATACATATACATATACATATACATACATACATGCATACATGCATGCATACATACATGTATATATATATAGACAATACATTAAATTACATTACACTACGTTACAGTTCATTACATTGCATTGCATTACATTACGTTGCATTACAATACATAAACTTACATTACAATACATGCATACATACAAACAAACATTCATACACACATATATACATACGTGCATGCATGCATGCATACATACGTTCATACAATCATACATACACACATACACACACACATACATGCATGCATACATACATACATACATACATGCATGCATGCATGCATACATACATACACACATACATACATACATACACACGAAGACACCCTCCGGCGATTATTGCATGGAGGGTGGTGGTGTATAAAGTCGCTGACCCTCAATGGAAATTTATACACCGCCGCCCTCCCAATGAGGCCCAGGAACAATCCATTGGATTGCGTATGTGTGTACATGGCGGACACTCTGTATGGCGGCGCCTCGGGCACCGCGAGATGTCTCACTGCAGGATCATCCACCCGAATTGCCATCAAGAAGTCGCCCTCCTCCACGCATCCACGCTTCTTCCCCTCGCTCATTCACCTTGACCTCCCACGCTTTTATCCTCGAGCCACGATCACGGCGTGCGATGCAGCACAGACTGAGTCGCTCGCACCGGCGCGACGCGACAGCCCCATCTCGGCACGGACTCAAAGACCGTCCAGACACCTCGAGAACGGGCAGATGGGACACGCTCGAGGTGGCATGGGGAGCAAGATGGGTCTCCTAACAGCTGGGCCCGCGGACCCGCGCACTGAGGCGCATGCTGCCAGAGCAGCATTGTTCTTCCCTCGTTTCCGTTCGCCGTTCCTCTGCGCTCCCTGTTGCGCGCTCCCCCACACGAGGGCGGGGCGAGGACGATTCCGAGGACCCGCCCCGGAGGCGCCCCCTGCAGACTCCGCCCTGCTGCGACGCTGCAACTGCAGGGACGCCAGGAGGTTCGCTTCGTGTATGGCCAGGGTTCCTCAAGCACTTCTCGAGGGGCGCAAGGGGCGTTGATCGCGGGCGCTCGGGCAGAAACTGCAGGCCAACGGAAGGAGGGAAAGGTGGGCTCGCGTACCCTTGATTGTCCTCCCCAGCGACGCTCCTCACAGCTTGGTAGGGTGATGGTTGGGTACCTCTGTATGTCCCTGGTGACTCACCAGAGGCCCCCAAGACAGCGCCAAGAAAGCCCAAGATGGGCTCCAGAAGCTCAATATATGGCTCCACGGTGGCTCAAAAGACCCCAAGATGGCAGCAGATGGCCCAAGACGGAGCAAGAGGACCTCAACACGGTCCAAGAGGCTTCAAGAGGCCCTCCAGGAGGGCCCAAATAATCAACACAAAAATATGCCCTTCGGTATTTGGAAGAGTCTAGCGTTCTCGCCTTTTCGGGATTCTGACAGCCCAAGATGGCCTAAGAGGCCTCCAGCAGGACCCCAAGAGGGCCCAGGGGGCACCCTGGAGGGCCCGGACGGAGACGGTCCAAGAGGGCCTCACGAGACCCCAAGACGGCCAATTGACCTGCAAAACGGCCCTATATTACCCCAAGACGGCCCAGAGAGGCGTCAGACGAGCTGCAGGCGCCAGAAGACGGTCAAGATGGTCTCAGGGCCCAAAAGGCCCGAAGAGCCAGGGCCCAAAAAGCCCCCAAGAGGCCCCCAAGAGGCCCCAAGGGGCACATCCCAAGAAACCACGAGAGGCATCCAAGACGCCGCTGACCCACAACCCAGGAAAGGGGCAGGATGGGCCCAAGGCCACCAAATTATGATCAAAGGAGAGGGAGCTAACCATTATCAGAGCAGGCCCGGCTGCGCGGGGCAGTCCTCCCAGCAGCGCACCACCCGGTGGTCGCACGGCAGGCACACCCGAGAAGGCTGCACCCCGGCCGAAGTCTTCTCCTTGTTCCACACGGGGCCCTCCGAGGTCGCGGCCCCGCTCCTCGGGGCCAGCCGTTCACTGCCAGGCCGCTGCTGCCGCAGCCCCGGGACCCCATCGGGGGGCCCCCGCGACCGAGGACTGCCCCCCAAAAAAAAGCCTGGCGTCGTGAACGTGTCACGGCGCGGGCCTGCCCAGGGCCCTGCTCGCCAGGGCCCGGGCCCTCCGACGCAGGCCCCCCCCGGGGCGCGGCGCCCTCCATAGCGCGCCCGAGGCCCGCGCCATGCGCTGCGACGAGACGTGCTGCACCACCGAGGAGCTCACCTGCGCCCAGCCCGAGAGGGTCGTGTCCTGCGCGACCATCCTCGCGGGGCGGCCGAGGGCACGGGGGAAAGTCCATAGCAAGGGCGGGTAGCCTTCCCAAGGGCGCCCTTGCGTCCTGAGACTTGCGCGGCAGCGCGCCTTTCGAAAAGCTTCAGCTGGGACGTCCAAGGACCGTCCAACTGGGACGTCCAAGGACCTTTAGAAAAGGTTCAACTGGGACTGCGTCCTTACAGCGCGTCCTTACTACAGATTTTGCCCGTAGGAGGACACCTACGATATACACAGACACCAACCCTGGCCAGGCCGATCCTGGGCCCAGGATCGAGCTGGCCAGGACCGGTCTACATGTATAGCTAGCATCCTCCGACGAGAGAGAGAGAGAGAGACAGAAAGAAAAGAGAGAGAGAGAGAGCTAACGCGGGTCTCAGGCTGCCGTTCGGGACGATCTGGGCGCCCCCCGAACGCCCTCGGCGAGGCGCTGCTGGACAGCACGCCGAGGCTGACGAGCCGCCGAGATCCGACTTGAACGTCAGACAGGGTATGACGAATCTAGACCCAGGGGAAAAGAAACAAAAAAACATGCGTCTGCCATGGACTGTTCCTCGAGGCTCGCTTCTGGCCCCGTCTGTCCTCGGTTCGGTGTTTGTCGCGAACATCCTCGCGCGCGGCTGGTAGCTCGCGCTGGCCCTCCTGCGCGGCCGTGGCGGCCAACAGGGACGTCGGCGAGTGGTCTCCGAAAGAGGAGGAGGAGGAGTGAGAGGAGTAGGAGGAGGAGGAGGAGGAGGAGGAGGAGGAGGAGGAGGAGGGGAGGAGGAGGAGAGGGAGGAGGAGGTTTGGCGAGGGCCCCGCTCAACAGGATGGACAATGATCAGACAGTGCAACGAAATGTCCATCGAGATCCCCCTCTCGAAAAAACGACCCCCCATCCGTCGAACTGCTCCACTTACATTCACTCGTCGCACTGACCTGCGAGGCAGACTCGAGCGACAAATCCACTTTGGAGAGAGAGCCGCCATGGATCCGTGCAGCGCTACCTGCGTTGAATTACCTGGCTTTCTTCAACTCTGCGAAGCCCCAAGCGAGAAATCCATGTCGACATGGATGAACCCTCCCTTCTCCTAGACGTGCGCCTGCGCGCGACGCGGAGGCGAGAGCCCCCTTTTTCAACCGACCCGTGATTGATCCTGGAACGGTGTTGCGAGACATCGAGTGTTCGTGGCGCGGAAGCGAGGGCCCCCCCCACTTTGAAGAAGAACCGCCCTCCGTCCGTGACGCGGCGAATGCTGACTCTGTGAGGACCATCGCGATCAACGCTGAAGCGACGGCGCTCATTGGGAAAAATACACCCCCCCCTTCCACATTGAGACGGTTTCACACTTGGAGACGAGTGAGCCAGCGCGGCGCCAGGGCGAGAACCACATGTCGAAAACGCCCCACCTCCATCACTGAACCAGCTGGGTTGTTCAAAAAAGAATGTGCGCGGCGCTCAAGCGAAAACCAACTGTTGAAAAAGGAGCCACCCTCCATCCGCAAAGAAGCTGCACAGCTTTAGGACGGAGCCGCGCGGCGCTAAGGCGAGAGCCACCATTTTAAAACAAATGATTACAAGTCCAACGAAGAAGTTGCTGCAAACTTGTATACCCAACCCGTATCACAAGGATGCCCGATAAGGATGCAACGGGCCTTGGAAAGCCACGTTGCCAGCGAAGGTTGCCAGGGATGGGCCGAAGAGGCAAGGATGCAAGTGCAACCTTGGAAAAGAACGCATCCTTACCATGCGGGTTGACTGTAAAAAGAATATGCGCGGCGCCAAATGCGAGAGCCACCTCTCCAAAAAACGCCCCCGATCCATCCATGAAGCTGACGGATGCGTCTAATACGGATGCACGCGGCGCTGGGGCGAAAACCACATGCTGCAAAAGAGCCGCCCTCCATCCATGAAAACGGCTGCAGCATTCAAGGTGAAATCGCGCGGCGCTGAGGCGAAAGCCACATTACAACAACAACAACAACAACAACAACAACAACAACAACAACAATCACTTTACCCGAACGCTCAGTGTTCTCACCAGTGCCAGGGTTTTCATGCGACGCCAGCCAATACCCCCACTTTGTGGGGGGGCAGTGCAAGCTCTACCAAATATCCACACGACTCTTCGCCACCACCCACACCCAGCTTCCCGCCCTATGACGTTCGGACACTTCACTTCGTGGCATGCGGACGACCGTGGCTACTATTCAGGGCCCCGCGGCCGACGACGACGGCGTGCGCGCGCGAAGAAAAAACGAATGTGTCCCGCATGGTATTATTTGACAGGGATGATGGCCCTGGCAGGTGCGCAACCGTTGTCGCAGAAGTTCGAAAAAGTTGCTCGCAAAAGCCCGTTTGACAGAAATGTTTAAAAAGTGTTGGGTTTCCTACGAATCCGCAAGAGCGCGCGGGATGAGATTTTGACATTTTTTTGTTGAAAAACCATTAGTTTTTTGATGTTTTTATGTTAAAATCGCTCCGAACACTAAGCTTTTGGAAGGATTTCGTCTTGCGCGCGCGAATGTCCACTTTACCTTATTTTTTGCAAGGGATTCTTGAAATTTGATTATATTAGAACAAGAAATGTCATTTTATAGTGTTTTTTGCAAGGGAAAGCGGGGGGGAACAAAACAACCGGATCTTGATCACATCGAATTACCTGAGGCTTCCTCACGAAAATGATGAAAATGTAGCTGCGGCCTAGGCGGCGCAGGGGGGCCGTGCACCAGGGGTCCCAACAATAATTATTCTTTAGAATTAATAATGTTCAACAACAACAACAACAACAACAATAACAACAACAACACGATTGCTCCACGTCTTCATATGTTTACACCAATGTACGCGGCGCTAAAGCGACAAACATGTTTATAATGGACTCACCCTGCCATCCTTCTTTGAAGTTGCTGCAAACGTTAAAAGCGAGTTTGCGTGGCGTTGAGCCGAGAACCACATTTTCAGAGCCAAACCTTCGGCCGGCTAAACTGATTTGACTACAAAGCCTCAGGGTCATAATTGCTCAAGAGCTATCAGGCCAAAGCCTGGCCCGTTCTACGAACACGTCTGGGGGGTGCGACAGGGAGGAGTTACTGATAAGGAAAAACACGGGGAGGGAGAGGGAGAGGAAGAGGAGGTGGAGGAGGTGGAGGAGGAGGAGGAGGAGGAGGAGGAGGAGGGGGAGGGAGGAGGAGGAGGACGACGACGACGAAAAGGAGGGAGAGAAAGGGGAGAAGGAATGAAGGCAGGGAGGCGGGGGAGGAGGAGGGGGCGGAGGAGGAGGAGGGGGAGGAGACGAGCGCACGCAGGAGGTCCCGATCCCGCGGCCCCGATCCCGCGCGGCGGCGGTGGCGCGCCACCTGCGCCCGACAAACCTGCCGAAGTTGCAGCAGACGGCGCCGGCGGCCGCCAGACGCCACGGCGGGGATCAACGTGGCCACGTCGCCGGGCCCGCCCGCAGCCGACGAGCGAGCGAGAGGCATCACGGACTGAGAGGGGGCGAGCGGGAAGGGGCACGTCAGGGAAGAGACGACGGAGGGGAGCAGTGAAACGCAAGGGCGATAGAGAGCACAGCTTCAGGAGCGAGCACGCCGCGGCACAGATTAGACTCACTGTAGGCTGCCAGGCCAGGGGAGAAGACCTGGACGTGATCCAGCGAGGTAGGAAAAAAGACGCCACCCATCCGAGCGCATCAGCCGTGTGGAGAGGAAGAAGATGAGAAGCAGCAGTAGCACTAGCGGGGCTCGACGACGGAGGGGGAACAAGGAGCACGGGGGCAAACGAGAACGGAGCAGACACGGCGCCACGGAACGCGAGAGGGTGGGGAGCAGCGCAGGAGCACCAACAGCGCTCAGGAGCGAAGGACGGAGGGAGAGATGGAAACTGCGGAGAGGCATGGTTTAAATGAGCGTGGAAAAAATGATCGGCGACACAATGCAGAGGAGGAGAAGCAGCAGGAGGAGCATCGAGGACGTGGCGACAAAAGAGGGGGCAGGCGAACGGCCATATAGCACACTCACGGCTCATCAGAGTGCGTGGGCAGGTCACTGCAGCACTGAGAGCCACCATCCAGAAAAACGCAGAAGCAATCAGCGGACACGAAGACGCAACGAGAGGAGCAGCGGATGTTCTCTGCGTGCGCGTAAATGTCGCAACTGGGGCAGAAGAGCACATCGATGATCTGAGTGCCCTAACCCTCTTAGTGAGCCTTTCATGATCCGACAACGGGCGTGGAGGTGTGGTTGCGAATATCAGACCCAACATGTGCGTCCTCAACGGCGTCGGTCGCGCTAGCCCTTCTGTCGGCAATGCCAGGATGGGCGGGAGGCCAGCGTCGCATTCTTCATCAAGCTTTCCAACGCGCTCTGGGGTCGTAATCACCATAGCTGGGGCGCGCGGCGAAGGCGTAGACGGCGATGCCGATCACGTGCGAGGGGAGGGGCAGAGATTCATCATGATCATCCCACCAGGATCACCACCATCAGAATCAGAACCTTCAGGTTCGGAGATCAGCATGGACGTGAGACGAGGAGGAGGTACAAGATCGGTCGGGACCTCCCCGGTGCCATTGCTGCAGGAGCGCGGCGAGGATGAGAATGTGGAAGAGCGAGACCGTCGCAAAGGTTATGTTGCTCACATCGTACTTAAGGACCACATCCCAGAAATAATCTCGAGCACCTGGTAGTGTCGAAAGAGTGTCGAAACGGTGTCGAAACAGTGTCGGACGAGTGCCTCCAAGGGCCCGAAACGCGAAAACTCTAGAGTCTCGGTACCTTTTTTTCTGGTGCTCGAGATTATTTCTGGTGATCAAGGCTGAAGTAGGCTGGAACATCGTAGCGCAAAGGGTGAGAGTCTCGAGCACCGGTGGAGGACGCTATCCCCGTTCCGTCATCGTCGGCAGGCCGAGGGCCAGACGCAGCGCCCGCCACGTCGGGCAAGAACGGCCGAACGCAGATCGCCAGCTGCGACGCAGTCGCGGGAACTCCTCCTCCTCTCCTCCCTTGCTCCTCCTCCTCCTCCTCCTCCTCCTCCTCCTCCTCCTCCTCCTCCTCTTCCTCCTCCTCCTCCTCCTCCTCCTCCTCCTCCCCCTCCTCCACCTCCTCCTCCTCCACCTCCTCCTTTTCCTCCTCCTCCTCCTCCTCCTCCTCCTCCACCTCCTCCCCCTCCTCCTCCTCCTCCTCCTCCTCCTCCTCCTCCTTTTCCTCTTCCTCCTCCTCTTCCTCCTCCTCCTCCTCCTCTTCCTCCTCCTCCTCCTCATCATCATCATCCCTCCTCCTCCTCATCATCAGCAAAGATGGTGGTCCGAATGTACACATCCGCCTTTCAGACGCGCCAGACGCGCACCGACCCCGATGGCTCGCCAACCACGCCGAGACAAAGGCGCTGGTCACAAGCGTAACCCAACTGCATGGGAGCAGGCAGCACAACGCCCAGATAGCTTTTCATGGCACGAGGTGAGGGCACGGTCTCCATCGTTCAGAGTATCGGGGCAGCCTCTGCTCAAAGACCTGGCGTAGAGCATGAGGAACGACACGAGACAAGCGCAGGGCACGGGTGGCAGCGCGTTGATGGCGAGGGCGTCGGTCCATTGTTTGGCTCTCCTCGTCAATCGCAGCAGCGCGACATTCCAGCAAAGGTCGACCATTTCCTGCCGCGGAGGCCCCCGAGGAAACCCAAGCACATGTCTGGGTCGGTGGGGGCAACTGCCAGTGCCGGCCAGCACCGCTGAGCCAGTCGATCCACGGTCTGGACCCCACAAACACAGCGTCGTCAAAGGAGCCGTCGAGAACCTGCTGACTCCATGCGTTAGTCAGCCCATGGATACTCTCAATAATAAAAGATCAGTCCGAATGCGACGAGAGACGCTCGAATAAGGATGGCCAGACATCAATGTAGCGCGAAGGGAATGCGGGGACCGCCCCAGTCAGCAAGCCAGGCCCAGCCAGAGGTAGGAAGCATGCCCGAAGGAGCACGAAAGACTTGAGCAAAAAGCGATAGCTCAAACGCAACCACACGCGGAGGCAGAGGATAAACTTGCCCAAGATAAGACAAAACAGGTAGAGCTCGAGATTCACACAATACCCAATTGATACCGATAGGCAACGATCCAGCCCCGAGCAACCGACCTCAGATCTTCATTTTCATGCATGGCGCCTTCCATTGTATCTGGATGGCGACAGCTGGGGCCTGGAGCACTCCTAAGCACATGAGGTGCGAGACGATCTCGAAAGAGGCCCGAGCTTGAATACGTTGCGTGAGCAGGTGTCGAGCCAGGTCCCGAAGACAGCCACGAAATTCAGCATGAAGCGGGGTAACCACACATCTCGTCGGTCCCCACTGAGGCCCGCAGGGCGCCACGCGATCAGAATGGGGCCCTGGCCCGGCGGAGCACACATTGGCTACCAGGATGGAGGACGGCCCCTCGCCTGGACCCCTCGCAAAGACTCCTTGAAACAGGTGGACGATCGGGGATCTTTTGACCCGGGTCAATCCAGACCCGGGTCAGCAGGAAACCAAAAACTGCAATGCAGGAAAAAAAAACTGCAACGCAGATCTTCGCAAACCCGGGTCAGTCAACATGTGCGGCCGCCTCGCGGCCACGAGCGGCTCCCTAACCCGGGTCAGCCAGAGGGGGTCTTCGCAGGATCCTGCAGGATCTGGCGCCTTGGCTGACCCCCGTCTGTATTGACCCCCGTCTCAAGGCTCCCGAGACGAAAGGCTTGAAACTCCGCCGGCCCGCTTGTGGGACCACCAGGCTGCGCGGAGGAGGTGTCCTGCGCCCTGCGCCAGCACCCCACCAACTTTCCCGAATCGCGGTGTCTGAAACGCGTGGGAATAACTTGGATTCGCGACCCCAGGGCAATAGCCTCTTGCATATGAAACCAGATTCACGTTCCCGAGGCCAGAATCTGTCGTAACTTACACCAGGTTCGCGCTCCAGAGGCCACCATCCCTTTAACATTACTCCCGATTCGCGCTCCCGAAAACAGACCCCTTGCAAATCACACCAGATCAGGCCCCCGAAACCGGAATCCCTCGCACTTTACGCGTGGATCGCGCTCCCGAGGCCACAATCCTTCGAACATTACGCCAGATTCGCGCGCCCGAAACCACATTCATTTGTAAACCACGCCGAAGTCGCGCCCCAGTACCCGGGTGGCCGCAAGCAGCCCTCAGTCGTACCGAGAGGCCTGCTAACACATGGCATGAAGGGAACGCTCCAGCAATGCAACAAAGTGCTCAATAATAGCCCCAACATCTAGGTAGGTCTTGCTGATTCCGATCCGTCCCCGCATCATTGTTCCCAGATGTCTTCGCAACGGCACCCAGACACCCCGACACGGCTCTGACATTTTGCATTGTGATGGAGAGGGGCTGGCGCCAGAGGGCGAAGCCCTGACGGATATTTGACAGCTGCGCAGGCCCTAAAAGGCCCCCTGGAGGCCCCCAACAAACCCCAAGAGAGCCCCAAGAGGCCCCAAGAGGGCCCCAAGAGGTCTCCAAGAAGCCCCTGCGACGCCCCCAATAGGCCCCTGGAGCGTCACGACGTTCGATGCTGCGCACCACTTCGACTAACTCCCAGGGAGCGGCCGGTGATGCGCCGCCGGCGTCCTCGATATCTGACAGCTGCGCAGGCGGAAGGCTGCTCCTTTACAACATGGTGTTCCAGAATCTTCCTCAACCTTTTGATGGCCAGAGTGCAGGCCTGCGTAGCAAGCAGCTGCACGGGCAAAGGGCGCTTCCTCTTCAAAACGGAGCTCTCGTTCTCTGACTCTCTCTCTCTCTCTTGTTTGTTTCTCTCTCTCTCTCTCTTGTTTGTTTCTCTCTCTCTCTCTATCTTTTCTCTCTCTCTTTCTCTCTCTCTCTCTTTTCTCTCTCGTTCTCTCTCTCTCTCTCTCTTCTCTCTCTCTCTCTCACTCTTCTCTCTCTCTACCTCTTGTTTGTTTCTCTCTCTCTCTCTCTCTCTTCTCTCTCTTCTCTCTCTCTCTCTCTCTTGTTTGCTTCTCTCTCTCTCTCTCTCTCTCTCTCGGGACATCACGATGAGCTGTATGATGAGCTCTCTCTCCCGCTTGACATGTCTTCTGCACTCCCGCACCGTGGTTCGCAATGCTGCCAATCCGGCAGAATGCTGCGCAAGGCATTGGCGAACCACACTGGGGCTCTCGCCTGAATGGCAGGCCCATGAACGAATCGGCTTCGGATGGGGCACCTCCTGCTGTGAAGAAGAAGGTTTTTTTTTCCCACCCGCCGAGCGTTACGACGGAATTCGTTTTTTTGGAGGGCGACGAGGGAACGAGGGAGAGGAGGAGGACGACGAGGCCGAGGGGGACGCAACGACAACCCCAAAGCGCAGAAACGACAAAGCGGGGGCTCGTGAGAGGAAAACCTGCAACGGAAGAAACAGACGTTGGCATCGTTGACCTATCCTGGCTTTCCTCTAGTCCCCCTCCCCCTGGCACTCACATCACCCTCCACATCATCCCCTTCTCCTTTCCGCCATGTTCATCACCATCGTCCCCCGTTACCATCCTCATCATCAGTTTCATCATACTTCTCATCCTCATCATAATCAGCATCAGCAGCATCGGCATCATCATCATCATCACCACCACCATCAGCAGCAGCTCCAGCAGCATCCTCACCATCGTCATCAGCAGCAGCACCATGAGCATCAGCATCAGCATCCTCATCAGCACCATCATCCTCGTCATCATCATCCGCAGCAGCATCATGATCACCATCATCACCTGCGTCATCGTCATCATCAGCATCACCATCACCATCACCATCACCATCATCATCATCATCATCATCATCATCATCATCATCATCATCATCATCATCATCATCGTCGCCAGCATCACCATCGTCAGCATAGTCATCAGCATCATCATCAGCAGCCGCATCATCGTCGTAGTCAGCATCATCATCATCATCCTCATCATCATCAGCAGCATCAGCATCGTCAGCATCAGCATCATCATCAGTACCAGCATCATCAGCATCGTCACCGTCCCCATTCCCATCATCGTCATCATCATCAAAATCAACCTCACCATCACCATCATCATCATTATCACCTGCGTCATCAGCATGATCATCATCCCCATCATCACCACCAGAATCGTCATCATCATCATCATCGTCGCCAGCATCATCATCATCACCATCATCACCACCACTACCACTACCACAACCAGCATCATCATCAAGAGCAGCAGCATCATCATCGTCATCAGCCTCATCATCATCAAAAGCAACATCATCATCATCATCATCATCATCATCATCATCATCATTACAATTATCAGCGTAGGCAGCCTCATGAGCAGCATCAGCATCAGCAGCATCAGCATCAGCAGCAGCATCATCGTCAGCATCATCACCATCACCATCAGCATCATCATCAGCAGCAGCATCATGATCACCATCATCACCTGCGTCATCGTCATCATCAACATCACCATGACCATCATCATCATCGTCCTCATGATCATCCGCATCATCGTCATCGTCATCGTCATCGTCACCATCACCATCACCATCATGATCATCATCATCATCATCATCATCATCATCATCATCATCATCATCATCATCATCACCGCCACCACTATCGTCATCGTCTCGACCAGCACCAGGGTCGTCACAGGCACCATCCTCACTGCCGTTGTCGTCGTCGTACGGAGTGCGGCAGGAGAGCGGTGCGCGCGGGGGGGGGGCCTCCCCCTGCCCAGGAGCTTGTCCGACAGCATCTTGCCAGCACGGCGGGAGCTGGTGGTGCTGGCGGATGGCGGGGGGGGGGGGCCGCCGGAGGCCGCCGGGGGCCGCCGAGGGTCGCCCGGGGGGGCGCCGCTGCGGGCAGGCCTCGCGCGCGGGCGCGGACAGGCCAGGACCGCAGGGCGGCGCGGGAGAGCACTAGTTCGAGCGCCGTCTGTGCGTGTTTGTCTACGCGCTTGGGGGAGATGAGAGGAGAGGAGAGGAGAGGAGAGGAGAGGAGAGGAGAGGAGAGGAGAGGAGAGGAGAGGAGAGGAGCGCGGGGAAGGGGGCAAGACCGAACAGAAGGCTCCTCCTCCTCCTCCTCCTCCTCCTCCTCCTCCTCTTCCTCCTCCTCCTCCTCGTGATCATCATCCTCATCATCATCAGCATCATCAACATCATCAGCACAATCACCTGAATCATCATCATCAGCAGCATCATCAGCATCATCATCAGCAGCAGCATCAGCAGCAGCAGCAACCTCATCATCATCAGCAGCAGCATCATCGTCATCATCATCAGTACCATCATCATTAGCAACATCATCATCATCATCATCAGCATCATCATCATCGTTATCGCCCCCACCATCATCATCATCATCATCATCATCATCATCATCATCATCATCATCATCATCATCATCATCATCATCATCATCATCATCATCATCATCATCATCATCATCATCCAAACTCCCCCTGCTCCTCCTCCTCCTCCTGCGCCCCCTCCTCTTCCTCCTCCTCCTCCTCATCCTCCTCCTCCCCTCCTGACTCCTCATGCTCCTCCTCCTCCTCCTCTTCCTCCCCCTCCTCCTCCTCCTCCGCCTTCTCCTCCTCCTGCCCATCCGGCCCCTCCCCTTCGATTCGAGCGAGGAGGATCAAGGCTGTTGGACATTTGTGGTGGCTGCTTGTGTCTCCTGAAGCCCCCAGAAGTAACCAGAGGCATCCAGGGAGCTCCGGGGCGGCGCAACCCTGTGCAAGAAACCATGCCGGGCCAGGCGTCGAGGACTTTCTGAGAAGCACGAGTCGAGGCAGAGGGGCCAGGACGAGCTCGAGGGGGCGTGGCCACAGGCACGGGACCAGGAAGGGGCAGGCAAGTCTGGCGGACAGCGACTGGGACGAAACTGCAGGCGCGATTCAGAGAGGCATGGTGTGGAGCGGGGCTCGTCGGAGGCAGGCGTGCGGCGGACGGCGACGAGCACCGGGCGCACGCAGTCTCGAGGAATCTCTCGAGAGGACGAGCAAGAGCCAAGCGCAGGCACTCACTCGGCAAAACCGCTGCCGCAATACAGTGCGGGCGCGGTCGCAGGAAACCTTCGCAAGAAACTCCAACCCTGAAAGCCCGCGCGCGAGGTGCACCTGAGGGGAAACCCGGAGCACCCTGCACGCAGCAGCTTCGTGGATGGCCGCGGGAAGTCACCGCGCAGCGCGTAGGGCAAAGAAGCAGGGTATCCTGGCGATGAGCTTCTGGTGGCATGATGCGCGCCCCCTCTGTATCATCGACCGAGGCCACCGACGGCCGACCAGCGGCGGCCCGCGGCGCCAGGAACAGCAGCGCACTGGCGGACTGCGGCGTCGAGGCGCAGGGGGTCTGCGCCGGCCTGGCGGATCGTGGCGTCGACCCCGAAAATGTCTGGCGGGCGTGCGAGGTCCCTTCCCCAATCCAAGAACCGAGGCCCACCTACGCATTTCGAAGGCTTGTTCTTCTGTGGGTGGAGGTGGGGCGCGAGCTCGCCCGAGGGCGATCAGAACTCCTCGCACAGAGGGGGGTCGAGCTTCTGCTCCAATGGCTCCGCTCGGCGCGCCACCGTTGGAACGCTCAGGACAGGAGACGCCCAGTGTACGGCTCCGCCGTTGCCCACGTGTGGTCCCACCGGCCCTCTCGACACGGGTGGCTTAAAAAAAGAGCTACCTTTCCAATGGTTCCGATCTCGTTCTGTTCCTTCGGGGAGAGGTGTCCATCTCCCCCATACCCCGTCTCCCTGGATCTGGAGGATGCGAGGGTCGCGGATCGTTGGAGCGTCAAAGACGGCGCAAAATGGCCCCAAGAGAGCCCCAGGTGGCCCATGATGGTCTGCAGTATTGCACAGTGTAGCCCAAGATGGCTCTAGATAGCCTCCTACATGCCTCCAAAAGACCCAAAGACCGCCCAAAAGGGTTCCAAGTGGCCACGGAGCCTCCCCAGGACCCCCCGGAGCCAGAAAGGCCAAAATGCTTGCGCGATCTGAGGAAAATCAACGCTGCCCGTCTTCTCGCCGTTTCGCTTCCGATTGGCTCATGAGGCCTCGTAATGGAGAGCTCCAAGGGGGACCCAAGATGGGCGCAAGACGGCTCCAAGAGCGCCCACGAGCGCCCCAAGGCCCCAAGAGGCAGTTGTCCTACCTCAGACGGGGGGGGGCCGTAATTCATGACCCTCCCCCCTTTTTTGATCGATGGCTTCCAAGATGACCCCAAAAGGGCCCCAAGAGAGCCCCAAGAGGTAACCAAAATAGCCCCAAAGGCCTCGCGCATGGCCACTGAAAAAAACCAAAGGGCTCCAAAAAGCTGCCAAGAGGGGCCCCCACAACTAAATGCCCACGAGGGCATTTATAATGAGACTCCTGGGCCTCTCAGACTGAACCCGATGTCCGATTTGACGGCAGCCCCCCCTCTTTGTCACACTGCGTGCTCCCACCGTTCCATGATCAATGCAACTCGCCTGCGCGTCTTTGCTGGACGGGCTGGTGGGCATACGCGAAGCATCGAGACTGGCATTGCCTAGATTGTGTGGTCCCTCATCGGGAAGCAGCATGTGTACGTTTTCTGATTCGGAGGTTCAACATTGAGCGACAGGGGGGGAGGGGGGGGTCTGGCTCTGAACCTCTGCTTAATGCGACTGTTCAAAACCGTGCGTCCCATGGGGAGACTCCGACTGCTTGAAACTGGCGCCAAGAGCAGCCAAGACCTACTCCATGTTGGGAGAGTGCGAGGGCCCGCGCCGATCGGCAAAACAATGAATAAGAAAACGATCACCAGATTATATGACTACACGTGTTTCGCCATGGGCCCCTTGTTGCCTATAGGCGTTCGGCGGCCACTGGTGGCCTCCAGCAGTCCTCAGCAGTCCTCGGCAGCCTGTGGCGAACCTCGGTGGGTTCCTGCGGTCTTTCGCGCCAACGCTTCTGCGGCCCTCTGCGCCCATCGCGAGCAGCTGGTAAAGTATATACCTGTGTGCTGATAACTGGTCCGCCCTGGCAGCGTCACTCTCTGCAACCCTCCTCGAAATCAAACGCAAGGTTTTAATGGTGGCCGACGCGCGAAACGCAGCTCACGGGGTCCGATTTGTGTGGTTGCAGTCGCCAGTTTGGGCACGAACATTGAAATTGTGGGATCCTGGGGCGCCGCCACGTCGCGGGAAAAACTTGCGTTCGATACCGAGGGGGGGTGTAAAGTCCAGGACGTGGCAAAAAGGGCCTGCGATGGCAGCTTCGAGCGCAGCTGTCGCGAGCAACCGCTGCCAGAACTGCACACCTGAAGCTCGGTAACACGACGCCTCTGCCGCAGCTCAGTGAGACCGTCAACTAAGAAAGCTGCCTTTGCTTTCCCGAGAGTGCCGCCTCGGCCACCCGCGCCTCGCGGGTGACTCCTGGCGGACTAGGAAGCACTATATTAACTTTGACACTCTGCTGCGGTGGACTGCCAGTGGCTCAGCACCCTCGGCCTGCACGCCCGCACGCGGGCAAGCCCACTGCAAACGTGACAGGAGAGTGCTAGCCACCCACCGTTATATGTCAGGCGCCCGCTCAGAAAACGTCGTCCCTCCTCTCAGCGTCGGGGTGTGCCGAAATGGACCCGTGTACGCCATGCGGACCCTCCCACTGGGGCGTTCGGCGGAGCTGCCTGTGGGGCCACGACCTGTGTGAGGGGGCGTGCCGAAATGGACCCGCGCATGAAAAGCGGACCCTCCCACTGGGGACTTCGGTGGAGATCCCGATGGGGCCACGAACCGTGTCAGTGGTGCGCCAGAACGGGCAGGCGGAGACCCGAGGCAAGGAGAGGAGGGGGGCTGCGGGAGCGAGGCGAGACGCGGGGCGCTGCGTACGCAAAACGAGGACCCAACTGAACACAGGATGGTTGAGAGAAGGCGCTCTCCGTGGCCGTGGACGTCCCAGGAGTGCGCCAGTCCCGGAAGATTAACGGTCCAGGCCCTCGGTTACCTCGTAAGGCTGGCAAACCACAGTCCTCGACAAACGTAGCCTCGAAAGTGTTTGACGCGCCCCTTCACTGTCGTCCCATTTTGCCCCCTCGACGCCGCTCACTTCAGTGTCGAAGCAGAGCGAGACGCTGCGACCCAGAAGTCCCACCAGCCCCCCAGTGGGCGCAGGTGGTTTAGAGCGTTTCCTCTTGCAAACCCCCTTCTTCCCTTTGGGGAGGGATACTTCACTGTTCCTATGAGCAAATATCCCCCGACACCCAACCGGCGACAACCGCCCACCACCGACCGACCCCCCCCGTCCAGGTCCAGGGGAGAGGGGTAGGGGGAGTGGTCAAGTTTCCAGCGGGAACGCCGCAAGCTGTCTCGCTCACGCCAACCCGGCCTCCCAATACACAAGTAGCACCCGAGTCTCAGCATAGGCACGGGTCGCCATCGACTACCGTGGGGAACCAATGCAGGCGCCAGCCATGTGCGCCACACATGCCAGGTGCGCCACGCGCACCAGGTGCGCCACATTGGGCAATACGTCGGCCCCCACCATCCCTGTCAAAAGCAAGTGCGCAGTGACGGCGAGTTTGCCAGCAGATGGCTCTGAGAGAGCTTCAGGGAGCGCAAAGATGGTTTCCAAGATGACTCAAGATAGCACAAGATCGCTCAAGGTGACCTCAACCCCCTCCAAGAGGCCCCAAGAGCGGCCCAAGGCGTTTCTGAATGACGATGGAGCACCCCTAGGAGAGCCGCAAAGAGGCCAAAATCTGTGCAATTCATAGTCAATGAGTTTCGCATTCTCGCTCGTTCGCTTCCGATGGCCCCCTGAGGCCTCCAGATGACTCCAAAAAACGCAAGAGAGCCCCAAGAGGAGCACACCCAAGAGGGTCCCGAAACGGCCCCAAGAGCTCCCCAGAGCGCTCCAAAAGCGTTCCAAGCGGGGTCTAAGGGGCGAGCTTGGGAGCTGAAGACTGGGGGGCCCGAATTAGGGACACGCCCCCTTCTTTCATCGAATTTTGTCACGATGGCCCCAAGATGGCCCTAAGGCTCCCAAGAGTGCCCTAAGAGGGCCCCAAGTGGCGCCCAGGAGGCCCCATGAGGCCTCCAAGAGGTCCCCAGGAGGCCCCCAAGAGACCCCCCAGGAGGCCCCAAGAGGCTCCCCCGAGGCACCCAAGACGTTCCAAGGGGCCCCCGGGACCGCAAAAAGGCCCCCAAGACGCCGCAAGAGAACTCCAAGAATCTCCCAAGAGACATCCGAAGAGACTCCGAGAGGCATCCAAGACGTCTCTGACTTTTCTGCTCGCCCACCTCCTCTTCCTCTTCCTCTTCCTCATCCGCCTGTTTCTCACTCCCTCCTCCTCCCTCATTCCTCTCCCCTCTCACATTTCTCCCTCCTCCTCCTCCTGCTGCTCCTCCTCCTCCTCCTCCTCCGATTTCTCCTCCATCCTTCCCCTCTTTGGGTATGACGGCTTCCCCAGCCCTTTGTTCCACTGCATGTTCCTCCGCATCCCTGATCTGGGCAACTTGCCTGGGCATGGTCTCTGGATGGGCTGGTGGGTTTTTTTTGGTCGCGGCCGCAAGCGAAGGCGCAGGCGGCGTCAGAAGTCGTCCCGGGCTACGAGCGAAACCTTAATTATCCAGCGAGCGCACTCACGGCTGCCAGAGCTGCCGCCGAGGGACGCTGGGCTGCGCCGGGGGCTGAAGGCGGGCTGCAGGAGCTACCATGTGTGCCAGGCGACCGAAGTGCAACCATCCCAGAGGCGAGACCACCAGGAAGGCGAACGAACTGTACCCTGTCGCGCCAGGCGCCAGAGGTAGCTGTGCCACCGAACGTGGCAAAGCGCGGGGCTGCGCAGGCACAGCGTACGTGTGTCGCATGCCGACAGTGGGAACCTCAGATGGCTGAACAAGAAGGCGAACCCACTCCTGAGCGATCCACGTAGGGGCGCATCCCACCATTGCAAGCGGCAGCTGCAAACACGACCAGGCTGTGGCAGTGTCTGAAGACCAGGGGCAAGGAACACGCAAGCATGCTAGCTGGGGCTGGTCGACGACGAGTCACCGGGACGCCAGGGTGCCTCACCCGGCTCAAAGAAGCCAGCACGGGCTGGTGGGGTTACGCTTTTTTTCGGATCCAAGGAAGATTCCAGAGAGCGGGTCGAAACTGGTGGGGTTACGCGAAGCGTCTGGAATTCCATGATGATCGGCATTGGAGAGAAGGCGGCGCAAATTACTTCTCACGCAATGTCACCCAAGTCCAGACCGTCAAACATACAATTAGACTGCGCCACCCACGTTTGAGGTCCAGATTGCCGAGGGCAGTGGAAATACTGCCTCCAACCCTTGCCTTGTGATCGCCCCAGCGAAGCTCAGAGAGTAAGTGAAACTGGCTGGGTGCACAAAACACGAGCTTATAGTAAGTCGCACGAGCACGGACAGAAGACGACGAGGAGGGAGAGTAGGACGAGGCTGAGGAAGGCATCCTAAAAACTGCGAGCTCGATTATTCCCCTGACCTGCAAACTGACGCCTAAGTCACCTTAGGAACAGCGTTGCCATTGGTTTTTCAATGAGGCGGTGGGCAGCGAATACTATAGCGAGATACGCTGGAGGGACGAGCATGAACAAGAGCCCTTTCGGCATCCAAACCTCTATCGCCAACGCATCCTGCAAGACGTAAAGCCCTAACGAGAGATCCCCCAATTGTGGCAGCGGCCCGCGACACAGAAGTCGCGGAAGGACGCCGTCCTCAGCTGCAAGGCCCCAAAGGAAAAGCGCCTGGAGTGGCAGAAGAACGCCCGACCGCACGCAAAACACGAGCGGCTCGGACATGTCGACTAGGAGGAAGACGAGCAGCATGATGGCAAGCGAAACTTCTGTGCTCCAGGAGTAGAGTAAATCCATATTGTCCCCACCTTGCTCGCTCCTCGCAACAAACATCTTTGCTAAGCACATGCCGCTCCAGAACACGTGCGCAAACGAAATTGGATGATACAATGCCAGCCGTACCAATGGAGCTTCCCATGGAATCGGATCACCGGCACCGAAGTGCAAATATATGACGCATGGCCACACGCATGTACACACCATCCCAAAGATGAAACCAACCTTGGTAGCACGATTGGAGAGCGCTTTGAAGCGAGGAAACACGTAGAAGAAGCACAGCCAATAGAAAACCAGATCGGCGACATACCAAGTAACCCGACTCCACGTTTGGCAACAGAACATGCTGTTGTTGCAACTCTGCCAGGTCCATGTTTGCAACATCAGCAGATCCGTCACCGCGCCTTGAGCACGTAGTAGAGCGCTCTGACGCACATGCAGTTTTCAGCGCTGAGCACCTCAGGCATGCTTATGATTATGAAAAGCCCAGACTACGAATGTCACCAGATTCCCCATATGTGCCACGGTATGTCGCGTGAGCTTCCTGGGCCCTCATACAAAACGAAAGCACGTGGTATTCGTGTTTTTGGCCTCGGGGAACGCATCAGGCCAAATGACCATGCCTCCCACCCAAATACGAAACCACTACCCCCCAAAGCACAGCGGCTGACGGGCCGAGAGGATGGGCCGAAGGCCGCTAGATAAAGCGGCAAAGAGGTCCACCACGAAGATGGTACGGCTGCCCCTAGGCACAGCAGAATTGTCATGTGTAAAAGACAACTCAATACATACAACGGGTACACACTTGCCAAGCGCCTTCGCATGAAAGACAAGGCCGTTCCAAGTCGCGAAGGGTCTGGCTTCAGAAGCTGGGAGTATGCGATCATAAAACCTGACAGTAGAAAGAAAAATGTGACCCAGCTCTGGCCCCACAGAGCGAAGTTGCATGGTACAGACTCACATTTATATGATGATGAAGTTGACAGCGCGATGTGGAAGGCGATGATGTGCCAGGCCGCGACGAAACGCACAAAGCCGAACGCCTTGAGCTTTCGGGCGTTTGATAATGCCGAGCTGTCGAAGGCGAAGGTTACAGGATCACCTCGAAGTTCTCCACGTTGCACTGAGAGAGCACTTAGCTCAATGGCGGCATCATTGGCATTGCTAGGGCGGGCAGCGGAGTCATGATCAGACGTCATTCCTTAAGCGCACAGTCATCCTCGCTAGCCGAAGCTCGCTCGCCCATCTTGTGCCATGATGGCCTTGAACAGAATGATTACAGGCCGAATTCGAGAAGGCGCCAAGTTGCCGACAGCCCGAGAGGGCCCAGCAGGCTGCCAGGAAGGCCCAAGACCCCTCAAAGACAGCGCGCCGGGTCGGAAGGGCCCCCCCGAGCGACCCACGCGACGCCCCTCAGAAGGCCCCCCAAAGGCCGTTCTACGGGGCAGCCAGCGCGCCTTGGTAGAGGCCACCACCTAGCCATGCAAAGCCACAGCCGATTTACACGACACATCGCACGAACGGTCGAACGCAAGGGGCCGGCGGATGTAGCGTACCTAGTCCCGAGCAGTTGCGGATAGTTGTGAGGGGGCACGGGTGGGTCGTGGCGCGAGTGGGTCGCGGGCGGGTCGCAGCGCGGGTGGGTCAAAGGCGAGGATGGGTCGCGGGGCGACGACGAAAAAGAACAACAAGAACGACATCGACAATCTGCACCGCGGAACCCCACTACAGTCGGGGCGTTGACCTAAGGAACCCTAAATAAGGAACGAGGCTCCTTTTCCCTATAAATTGAACTTTGATTTTCCATGGGAAACCTCAGGAAAACCCGAGGCAAACTGTGAAACAATCAAGGAACACCGAGCCCCTCCCCAACGGAAAGTGTTCCTTATTCAAGCCGCTCTCTGTACAGCCACGCATCCAGGAACCGTGTAAGACCGCTCGGGCCCCTCACTCTGACAGTCAACGTACACAGAAAAAAGGACGCAGGCCAAGGATGCAGGACCCCTCGACGCCCCTGCTCGAGCAGCTGCGCTGCAGCGGCGCCCCAGGTGTGCCCACGAGAGCTGTCAGACAACACTCGCTGCCAGGGAAGGGCCGCAGAGGCAAGGATGCAGAGTGAAAGGCAGCGCTGGGGCGGGGAGTGGCTCAGGAGGGGGGGGGACATCCGCCTGGAATCGATGGTGCATCGCTCGAGCAGGGGATCGACTGCAGAATTGCTTTACTCAGAAAGCAGTTCTGGTCGAATCCATGAACTACATCTTTTAAAATAGATTTGACGAGAGGATCACTTTTGGGGTCAATCAATGATGCAGTCAATCACCCTGAGCCCCTCTCCCCCGGACGCTGCCACTGATACGACGAAGCCACGACGAGGATAAAATTGGGCACGGATGAGTCGAGAATCCCTGAGATCTGGCGGCCCTGGAGGACGCCTCGGGCTCCGCGGCCTCCTCGGAGCCTTCCGGAGCGCTCCGAGACCGTCCCGGAGCGCTCCGGAGCGGAATTCTCCTCGTCCTGGCCCTGCCTGGCCTCTCCCTCCCTCCTGCCTTCTTGCCTCCCGCGGCCAGCCCCCGCATGGGGTCTCGCCTCGAGAGTACGACGCCCGTCTCCCCGGGCCTGCCTGCCCTCCTCCTCCGCAGCGGCCCACCGCAGTGGCGTCCGCCACGCGCGGAACCCACACGAAGCCACGCGAATCGTGGCGCCCTGGCCCCGCCTGACCTGACAAAGGCCCTCCTCCTCCTCCTCCTCCTCCTCCTCCTCCTCCTCCTCCTCCTCCTCCTCCTCCTCCTCCTCCTCCTCCTCCTCCCCCTCCTGCTCCCCTGGCCGTGCGGCCTCCCCGAGGCCCCGGCCGTCTCCCACCCGGAGCCGGCGGCTCGTCCTGGGTCCTCGCTTGGCGGCCAGGGGGAGGGGGAGGAGGAGGAGGAGGAGGAGGAGGAGGAGGAGGAGGAGGAGGAGGAGGAGGAGGAGGAGGAGGAGGAGGAGGAGGAGGAGGAGGAGAGGTAGGACGAAGCCAGGACGAGGCTGCAGGGCAGCTTCTGGTCCATAGGATGTCTTGAACCTAAGATTTTTCATACATGATTCATTTATGAATGAATCGATGCATGAACTCATCGTTAGTTTTAGTACTAAATCCCTGCATCTTTAATATATGATCCGCACGCGGAGCATGCATCAAAAGCGGCACTGTAATCGGGTACGGATAAAAGTCGAGAATCTCTGAGATCCAGCGGCTCTGGAGGACGCCTCGGCCGCCGCGGCCTTCTCAGAGCGTTCTGGAATGCTCTGAGAGCGTCCCGGAACACTCCAGAATGGATTATCCTCGTCATAGCCCCGTCCGACCCAGGGCCCGAAAACGGCCTAAGGATACCGAAAATGAAAAGAACTATCAGTCGGTTCTTGTTGCAGGGGGGGGCAGTGGACAAAATTGCCATGGCCAAAGACCCAATCAAATTCAGCTGTAAGTGCTACAGTTGTGAGTCGTTTTCGGTGGAGCTGCCTGTGGGCCAGGACACGTGAGGGGCGTGCCGAGTCGAGTCGGGCTCGGGTGCGCCATCCGGACCCTGCCGCGGGGAGCCTTCGGTGGACCTCCCTACGGGGCCACGGAAAGCGTGAAGGGTGTGTCGAAGCTGGCGCGGGTACGCCATGCGGACTGTGCCACTGGGGCCTTCGGTGGAGCTCCCATTGGGGCCAGGAAGCGCAAGAGTTGTGCGCCCCATCGGGAGCGAGCACGCGATTCACGAAACTAGTGAGTGGTGTGCCGAGTCGGGCACGGGAACGCCATGCGGACTGTGCTGCTGAGACCCTCGATCGGTGGAACCCCCTAAAGGACCACGACACGTGTGAAGGGTGTGCCGAATCGGGTGCGGGTACGCCATGCGGACACTGCTGCCTGGGCATTCGGTGGAGCTTCCTATGGGGCGCGAGGGATCTGCAGAATCGGGCGCGGGTACGCCACGCGGACGCTGCCGCTGGGGCCTCTGGTGGAGCTTGTGAAGAGTGTACTGAATCGGGTGCGGGTACGCCGTGCGGACTGTACCACTGGAGCTTTCGGTGGGGCTGCCTATGGGGCCAAAACGTGTGAGGGGTGTGCTGAATCCGGTGCCGGTACGCCACGCGGACTGCGCCACCAGGGCCTTCGGTGGAGCTCCCTACGGGGCCACGATGCGTGTGAGGAGTCTGCCGAATCGGGTGCGGGTACGCCATGCGGACAATGCTTCTGGGGCCCTCGGTGGGACTCCCCGAGGGGCCACCAAACGTGGTAGTGATGTGCCGCACCGGGTGCGGGTATGCCATGCGGACGCTGCCGCCAGGGCCTCCGGTGGAGCTCCCTATGGGGCAGCGATACGTGTGAGAGCTCTGCCGAGTCGGGCGCGGACTCGCCATGCGGACCCTGCCGCTTGGGCCCCTGGTGGCGCTCACTATGGGGCCACGAAACATGTGAGGGGTGCGC